ATATAATGTACAGGACACCATCAGCAACAACGAACTGTGGGAGAGAACAAGTCAGATTCCAGTGGAAGAGGAAATCAGAACAAGCGGTGGAAGTGGATAGAACACACTCTACGAAAAGCACCTAACTGCGTCACAAGACAAGCCCTCACATGGAACCCTCAAGGCAAAAGGAAAAGAGGAAGGCCAAGGAACACACTACGCCGAGAAATAGAGAAATATATGAGAGGAATGAACAAACATTGGACAGAACTGGAGAGGGAAGCCCAGGACAGAGTTGGTTGGAGAAAACTGGTGAGCGGCCTATGCTCCATTTGGGGTAACAGGCGTAATTAAGTAAGTAAGTAAGTAATATAATGTACAGAACATGTTGAATGGAACCTATTAAATTATATCAAAACAAATAATATCCTCAATTTAATCTGTTGTAATCAGAGAAACAAAACAAAATCACAGGAAACCTGAAACGGTACACGTTGTGCCGTACAGTCGATGATGTATCTAGCACGAAATTTTCGGAAAATATGGTTTATCAATAAGCGTTTGGGGCTTCAGAGCCATCAAGACGATTCCCAGGTAGATAAAATCAACTATCTACTTGCAAGAATTCGAATGAAGGTTTTCAGCTGGCGAAAAGGCAACTATCAACGAAGAAATCATGCCAAAACCTTATAATGGTCAGACGCGACCTAAATGTCAGTAGTTCGCCAACAAACAACAGCAAGAGTGAAATAATATTGAGGAATATTTAGCGAAGTCAAACATCTATGATTGAGAGACATGAAACATGGTTACAAACTTCCTGAATGAAAGGTAAATACAAAGCATCGTTAAAAATAAAAGTGACAATACTGTTTAGAGTGTTCTTTCGGTTACACTGGCCACCGAAGTCGTTTCGGATAATTGAGAACACATACTAATACATTCAGTCATGGCTCTCTTAGATAAGTTGTGCATGTTAATGGTAAATAAAGGACTAACGACAGTACGTCTGTACATTTGTAAACCTAGTCTACAACCTGTAGTAATATAGCCTCTTCTTGAAGTCAAAGCTCTCGCATATCTCTTCTCACCACCCCTTTTTTCCTACGTGCCGCGAATGTTCGTATCAGACCAACTTCATCTATCTCGCACTAGTCAGCCAGTCTCACCGGCCACGAGCCATGAGTAGTAAAGTCGTTGGCCACTACCATCGTACTCTTTCCCTTTAAGTTTCGATGTTAACCGCATCGTTTCTGTCGTACTTGAAGTGACAGGACTTCCTCCTCCAGCCACCGACGCCAAAAGTTATTAGCTAAGCAGTATATCCATCTCTGTTGTTCTAAATACATATTTGTACTGTACTTTTCATTCCTAAACCATCTGAATAGCTATATATCAGCAGTGTGTTAGGCGTGAGAGCTATGTCATTGCCTTCATCCGAAGTCACTGGAACGACATGGCGGCTATTCCTAATTTTTTCTATTTCCGTCAGCAGCTGAATGAATTGTAGTCGTGTAGGACATATTCGCTGGGAATGGGAAGTCATGGTTCAGCGCCTAATTGGATTTTAAGATACTACTCATGTAATCGGATGATTAGAGTGAGATGAGTATCATTCTGCTTATCTGCGTTCCCTTGAAATTTCGGTCAGTCACTTACAACGTAGAACTTCGTACTTACGTAGGTACATCAGCCCAGGTTGCCATATCACATTGACGCAGAGACGCAATTGTCACTTCAAATCCGATAGTAGTAGAGGTTATAGTAGTATTAGCAGTAATCGGAGAGTTTAGGGTTCGAGGATATTATTCAAGAAGTAGAATCTAGTGAAATTAACTTAGAAAGAAAAAGATAAAGTTGATGAGGAATTCGGAAGGACTTTTGGGATTTGGATTCCCACAGATGGTTTGGATCATTCACCATTACCATGAAGAAGGATTCGATTCACCAACAGTGACTAGTTGTTGCAACGGATGTGCTGCATGGCATACCCAAAGGTTATGCATGGAGGAAAGATATAGTATTGAGAATACAGAATTTTATTAAATTTGACATTCAACACAGCTAGCATAAAAGTCACAGATAGTTCGAAAGTATTCATAAGTACTACTTAGATTAGTATATTCTGATTGGTCAAGTTTGTTTTTCTGTCTTAATTTTTGATACACTGCGCATTAACGCAGATTTTATTTTTGGTATGTAAAGAAGATTAGGTACATTGGGCTATCCCTAGTCTCGGTTTTCTGATTATCTTAATATCAGCCTTGTATTATTTTTATTTGTTCTCTGCTGCTTTCGCCATCATATGTAAGTTTATTCTATGTGCTTACTGGGTTACTGTTCCAAATTTTTCTCTTGTTATTTTCTCTTCCAGATTGTCTCATACTGTTCTTCACATTTTGTCCTTTTATACAACGTATTTTCAGCTTACAAACGAACTTACCAATAGTTAGGCATTACATTTCATGGGTATCAAGGGTCTCCTTCCGTTCTTGAAAAATGCATCAGTTCCTATTAATCTAGCTGATTTTAGTGGCTATGTTGCTGCTGTGGATGTTTACTGCTGGATTCACAGGTCCTCATATTCATGTGCTTCTGATCTAGCTCTTGGGATTCCAACTGACCAGTAAGGACTGTATAAGATTTTCTATTTTAGGTATGTCCGGTATGTTGTCAAGTACATCAACCTTATGAAAACATGTAATGTTAAGCCAATCCTTGTATTCGACGGCTCTGATTTGCCATCAAAGGCTGAAACGGATTTAAGACGTCGAGAGTAACACTGTTTATTTTGCATAATTTTTTAGGACTAAGGAGTTGAATCGAAAAAAGGCTGCAGAATTTCTTATGAAGGGAAATAAAGCGGCTGCGCAAGAGTGTTTTGAAAGGTCTGTGTTCGTCACTTCTGAAATGGCATACGAGGTTCTTCGAGTGAGTATTCTAGGTGTTCTACTGATGTTTGTTTTATCATATCTATCTATTGATATATTTTGGATGAGTTTTGAAGGCAGGTTAATGTGTGGGATTAGATACAGTGTTAGGATATTTGGTAGTTCAGTCAGTCAGTTACAACGTAGAACTTCGTACGTATGTACATAAATTCATGTTTCTATACCACATAAACACAGGAAAGCTATTGTCAGTTCAAATCCCATAGTGGTAGAGATAGTGGAAGTATTATCGGTAGTGCAGAAAATTAGGATTCGAAGATATTCGGGAAATATAATTCAGTGATATTACTTTAGAAAGAGAAAGACAGAGGTGATGAGGAATCCCGAAGATTAATATTTCATAGAACACAAGGAGTGGATGCACCTGCGCCATTGCAAACGATTTTGAATCATGCCATTCAAGGTCTCCAACCACCGGTTAGTATCATCTTGCGGACCCCAACCAGATACTCTACACCGACAAACTTGACTCATTCCACTTGTCATTGACTTCATGGGTTTCTGTCATGTCTTGGTCCGGTCGCCCCTAGCTTTCTTCCAGCCTACCTCTTCATCGCAAAACATCACTCGTCTGGGCAGTCGGTGGTTGAGCATTCGTAACTTGTGTTTCAACCATTTCAACTGGTGAAGTTTCAATACTTCATCTATTGGTTTGCGATCTCTACCTAGTACTGGTATTCTAACAACTGGATTGCTGACTCAGTTGCCCTAGGTTGTGTTAGGAATGCATCGGAGACACGGATGATTGACTACTAATAGCCTACGAATATTCTCTATTCTTACTGGCCATGTTTCGCACCCATAAAGTAGGATGGGGCGAACTAGTGCGCAGTAGATTCGTCTTTTGGTTAACAAATGCATGTCTCGTCTACGCTATAGATGAATCAAGTTGGCAAAATCCAGTTGAGCCTTCCCTATCGGTATCGAGATTTCATCAGACTCCAGGCCATCAGCACTGATGAGACTCTCAGGAAAGATGAAATGGTCGACACGCTCAACTACTTCACTCCTTATCACTAATTCAGGTGTCAATGGGATCCAATCCTGAAACAACATTTTGCATTTAGAGGAGGGAAACACATCCCGAACATCCTTGCTTTGTTACTTTAGGTGATCAGGAAACTGCATTTTGTCAACGTCTTCAAATAAAACCATGTCATATGCATATTCCAAGTTCACAAGCAAGTCTTCTAGTAAAACGTCAACCCCTCAAAAGTCAGAGAATGAAAGTATCGTTTCTAAAAGCATGTAACTGACAAAGTTGAATAATAATGGAGAAAGTGAACAGTCCCGACGAACATCATTTGAAGTAATTAATTTCGATGTCGGTTCGCGATAAGCTCCTACTCGGCCAGTAGTGTTCAGGGAAAAGGCTTTATAGAGTTAATCTACTTTAGTACTCCTTTCAGTGACGGCCACCTCTATAGAACCTCATGATCAAAAGAGTCGAATTTGCCTTATGATTGAAGAATACAACTATTGTGGAACATCTGAACGTGTGTCTATGTTCTAGGACCTGACGAAAAGTGATATAAAGTCAGTCAGTTACAACGTAGAACTTCCTACGTAATATTTACAAATAAATGAACTAACTACTGTGATACACTATCATAAGTAAATTGAAAATTTCGCCTATATTCATCAAAGCATTTAAAAATTATAAAGTGACCATTGCACTTTTCCAACGTCTGAATTAGTGTGCAGTCATTTTCAATCCATGGTTTACATTTGTTAGGTGCTTTTTCATTGCACGTGTTGATGCAAAGTTTCGTTCGGGATGTACCGATGAATATTACTGTGACTGACACATATTAGCGCACCTGAAATAATTCTTCGAACCCAGATTTTGAAATCATCTAACCAGTTCAGTTAGGTCGAGTTTGAGCCAAATCGTGTTCAAACTTGCACATCATCTGCAAAATTTTCGGTCCTGTTGTCCTGGTAATCCGTTAATATGAACTAGTTATAGTTCGGTGGGGATGGTTCGATTTTCACAGGCGTGTACTTAGAAAGCGTCATATTAACAGAAAACATTGCATCTTCCATTTTTACTGCCATAGAACTCAACTCATAGAAAAAAGGAAATTTAATATGCTAAAATGACCAAATCTAAGAAATTTACTTGACTACTAAAATATAGTGGTTTCAACGAAACATGGATTTTGTTCCTCGTCTTTAGTATTGAATTTTTTCGTGGTAACATGATTGAAATCAAGATCGATAGATTTACATCAATCTAAGTTTTATCGACCAATTTAGTAGTACTTTGACAAATTAAGAGTTTTACACTAAGTTACCAATAGTTCTTACTATGTTAGTATTTAGTAGTAATGGATGATTTTACCTCGATTATTATAATTACGTTCTTTGAGGGTTGTATTGGCCTTAGCTAATAATGAGTGTCCAAATTGTGTTCTAATAGCTTTCTGCACCGTTATATGCACCTACCTGTTATTTTCAAACATGATGTCTGATTTTGAGTAATCTTATTTGCATACGACGTAATCTAATAATCCACTAGTTAAATTCATATCGATTTTGTTCTCCTTTTCTCCACATACTACCTTATAAGGCTGCTCGTAACATGGGTGTTGATTGTATTGTAGCACCATATGAAGCAGATGCTCAATTAGCGTATCTTAATCGAACGGGTTATGCTGACCTTGTCATCACTGAAGATTCTGATTTATTATTATTTGGGTGTAGACAGGTAAGTGCTTTTAATTACTCACTTTATATCAAAGCCCATTAATAAACCACCAAGTTATCAAGACACCACCCCAAAGTTTCTTTAGTCAGTCGGTCAGTCAGATGTAACGTAGAACTTCGTACGTAAGTACATCAGTTCATGTTGCCTTACCACATTAGCACAGAGATGTAATTGTCAATTCAAATCCAATAGTAGTAGAGGCAGTAAAGGTATTAGAAGTAATCGGAGAGGTTAGGATTAGAAGATATTATTCAAGAAGTATGATTCAGTGAGATAAGTTTAGAAAGACAAAACCAGAGGTGTTGAAAATTTCAGTATATTGTCTAAAGTTTCTTTAGACAATATACTGAATGTATATTCAACAAAAATATAGTTTGATTTTCATTATTTTAACGGCGCAACAACTCCTTAAACTGGCAAGTACCATACCCATCATAATCTAGTGAATGTATTTTACTCTTAAGTAGGTTGTACCTCGGTAATCATGTTTTTCATTATTAGGTAAACGAGCATGCGGTTTTCACCAGGGAAGTTTAAGCTCAGCTCTCGTTTTCTCCTGATGGTTAGTTATTAAGGAGTCCTCTTTCAATCACTTACTACTTTGGATTGATGGTAAACTATCTAGGATAAAGAGTGATTTCTCAGTGGTTTAAACATATCAATTAATTGTGTCGAATACGTCAGCCTTTGTGGGTTATCGTTTGATAAAAGCTTGCCATTCAAACAAGTGTTGCAAAACCGTGAACTACTCTTGGAAAAGTGTAAAACATGAACGTTCAAGACAAATAGCATATATTCTATTATAGTTCTCTCCGATTGTTCCTAACATTCGACAGAACCACTGGTGGTAAGAAACTTTTGAATAGATTAGTTGTTTATCAATTAAGGTTGTAAATTTACATCAATCGAAGAGACTGAAACATATTTGTCTCACCATAATTACAACAGATAACACATTGTCACGTCATTATCTACGATTCGTTTATTTCCATTTAGGATATTATCTGATAAGCTTGATTTCTTAACTGCTTATTTTACTCCTAAATGTTTTTTAAAGGTTATATTCAAACTTGATTTATCGGGATCTGGGGTTCTCGTGGCAGCCGCATCGGGTATATGTGAATGTTGTGGAATTCCTGCTAGCCAGTTTACTGAATCAAAATTTAGGTTTATGGGTATTATGGCTGGTTGTGACTATTTCAGTGGAATACCAGGTATAGGATTGACCACTGCTGCTAAAGTAAGTAATTTTTTAAACAATTATATTTCATGAACTGAGATTATATTTACGTGTACCGAGTTACTTCTGTGATTTTTTCCACCCTTGTTTAAATTCTACTAATCATTTATAAATTCTCTGCCTTAGTAATTCCCTTCTGACTGTACTATTCGTGTTGTCTAGTTAGCTGTATTTTAAAGGAATATATGTTTTTCACCACTTATATAATTTATTCACCTTTGTTTAGTCCTGTCATTGACACTACTATACTAAAAGCCCCATATTGTACTCAGCATATAGTACTGAATAAACACTATTATTATTATTATTATGCTGTCTCCGTAACCGTTAATCAATTTCACGTGACAAACATAAAACACCAATCAGAATTACGTTAGCACCAGAAACTGTGAATCAACTCTGTAAACTGATTGCTCAACAATCCGATAGCTTCTTTCTCTCTACCCTGCCTCGAAGTCCCGAAGTGCGCAGCCAGCCTCCACAAAATTTCGTTTTATTTCGAGCGTACATAGTTTATATACCAAACGTATCACGTCACATCACCATGAAATGAGAAAATACATTCATACATGAGCGAGCTAAAACTGGCTTTGAATAGAGTAGACTATGGCTAATAAACTAGCAGTAAATCAGGAATAATAAACCACACGTTTGTATTTAGTAATCTAATCAGTAGATTATAATAAAAGGCATATATATATATATATATATATATAGTACCATCTATAATAATTTTTTTGAGGGCTCATAGATTTGTTAATTCCTATTTTTGTTCCCTTCTTCCAGTCCCTGTCGTCCTATGATATCTTCATATCCGGTATTGTTCATTCCAACCTTGGCTTTCCTTTGATTTCTGTTTAGTGATATTCCATCGACTGGCTTGTTTAAACAAAGATAGCTTCCAGCAGTAACAAAATGTAGCTGCCACTTCCGACTCGTTACCATACTTTACCATGAGTTTCTCTGTCTTTATATGAAATTTTGTGACGTCACCTCAACTCGCTACTCAGGAGTTGAAGCTCAAGTTTCCAGCCAGACCACTCAAATTACATATAATGTATCTGTATGAAAGTAATTAATCGTTTGTCGGATGTAATGGATTTCTAGTGCATATATTTTTATGTCGGGCCCACACGGCTTGTCCCAAGCTTTCGGAAAAACTAGCCGATCCATTCTCCCCAAGTAACTATTCACTCGTCTTTTGACCTTGTCAGCTGTTTGCTTTCATCTTCGTTGCTTCTATTCGAATTTCTGTGTGCATTGCTTACTTCGTTTATTGCATATCTAGCTCCCGACCGTAGCTGTTACCTTGACGTGGTGGTCGGACTTGCCTATCGTGATGATCCAACCAAGCTATATTGGCTGGAACATATGTTCCTTTAGGTTCTACCATGTTAGGCATGTCGATTGGAGAACGATGAGACTAAAAGCAACAACTCAAGGTCTGACGGCGAAGTCGTACTGCTAACTGTAGAGAGGTGTGACAGCAGTAAGGTGTTTCCCTCGGACAACCGTCATCTGCAGCGATGTTGCCTTCTTACAAGGAAGGAGAGGGTTAGAAAAGGTCGACCCTGAAAATGTTACACCTCACCTTACTCCACAGCTTCCCATCTCCAGCGTTAAGGCCACTTGAAGTGCAAAGCTAACACTTTAAAAACCTCTCATAAAAAGGCCGTGCGTGATTGACCTGAAGCAGTTGTCCCTTGGGCCCTGCGGTCACGCCTCCAGATCCGTAAGACCATCGCTAATCTAACTTCCTTTTCAGGTTCCTCAAACAACACCCTTCCAATGTGTAGGCAGCCAGGAAGTGACATCCACCCTCATACCAGTTACAGCACACAAAAACGAATCGGTCACAGTCTAGTCCTTCCTACCACCCCTAACATTTCTCTTATCTCCACGACTAAACCTCATATTCGTTTGTTACCCTGCACCGTTAATCCAAACGATGCGAGTTCACAAAACGTTATTCCTGGTCTCCTGAAACCTCGTTCGCTTTTAATTTCTGGACATTGTGTCAAATAGGACAACAGGCTTCCTTAGCTAGGACTTTAGAATCTCGCGCCATCGATGTGTGCTGCATCTCCGAAACGCGCACTCAGGATCCGAGTAGCGTCATTCACCTGACCTCACCATGCCAAAATAAAGAAGCAGCTCGATTTACCCTTCGTATATCTGGAAGCCTTGTTGCCGCTTCCCGTGGCCTCTCTGGCGTATGTATGGCACCGAGTCATAGAGTAGAACTAGCTCTCTTAGACTGGATCCCAGTAGACAGTCGCTGTCCGTCTAAACGGGATTCAGAAAGACGGGGTCACTCGCTGTTTCCTCTTCGTCGTATCTGCCCACGCTTTCACTGATTGCATTTAGGACAAGGTAAAAGATGAGTTTTAGAGAAAGCTTTGGGACCTCCTGCATAAAGTTAGACTCTCTGATATAGTAATAGTGGCCAGTGACTTCCTGACTAACTAATACTAGCTCTCTTGCCTTCTTCACTTCGGTTCGCTTTCATGCTTTGTATTCTCATGCTGTCTGCTCAAACGAATGCATGAAATAAATTCATCCAGCTGAATCCGTAGTTGGCTTCTTATTGCCGCCGTCGCACAAACTGAAGGAGAGAGTTATTTCGTAACATATTTAATAGTTCGTAAATAAAAGGAACGTCGCCTACAAAACATTGATAAATTATACTGCATAAAACTGAGTAGGTTTTTAAGATTGAAATTTCTCTAGAGGGAGGTAGTGAGGGCATTACTTAAGCTTTATTTGTAAGGCTGTTTATTTTTCTGTTGTTAGTGTTAAGAGCTGCAATTAGCTAATCTCTTGTGGCATATATTCCTTCTGAGCAGATTGCTTCCATATTGCCACGTAGTCGAAATTCTTTAACAGAGTTATGTAATGGCTAGCATTGGAGTCTAGGATGTGCGTTCCATCTTGTTCATTACTTTTCAGTTAAATGCACTTACTTCTTAGTGTTGATGTTTACATTGAAATTCTGACTTAGTGCCTTTCACTTCAAAATGTGCCGATCGATTTCAGTCCTAAACATCAACAATGATTAAATACAAATAGTATTCATGTTAGTATAAACTTAGTTTTGTCCTACAAGGATATAGATTATTATTTAGATAGTGTTAATTTTTAAACTACATCTACGTAGCGAAAACCAAGGCACAAGTGTGTTTTGTATCGTTAGGATTCAAGCTTAATCTCTTACCGATTTAACTTTTTTGAGAGGTGGCTTTATGCATAAGGCGTTCAACTCGTCCACTAAGTCTCATAGTCAAACACCATTTAACCTACTTTAAGTTGGGAAACCGGGTAGTATTATCAATCTTCGCACTTAACATGTAGATCGTATCCAAGTACCTGGTAAATGAGTTAGTTAAAGTGGAAATAAACAACTGTTGCAGGATCACTTTAGTGAGCATCATTGCCGACAGCTAATTTAAAATTGATAGATTCTAGGTGAAATTGTGAACACAACAAACTATGAAAAATTTGCATTATTTGGACTACCTTTGAGGAACTCAACGATACGTCTGTTAATCAATCAGTTTAAAATCATTTATTAATACCTGACCATATAAAGTTTTGAACCTTTGTCTCTTATAGATACTGCGTCAAACCCGTATAACAAATTTCAGAGAGCTGTTGTCGAAATTGGGATTTTATACCAAACTTAGTCGGAACGCTCTTGCAAAGGACAGCACAGACGTCATAGACACTGGAAATGGCCGTGATAAACGAAAAAACGTAAAAACAGCCAGTCATAACAAAAGTTCGCAAATTAGTGAATCACTTCTTAATGCTGCTGTACGTGCCGAGCGTACATTTCGACTTCAAGTCATCTTTGATATCGCATCTAGATGTCAGAAGCGGTTCAGTGAACCTACTCCTGAAGATATAGACGAGGAATTACATAATTTAAATGGTTTGAATGAATCAGATGGGGACGAAGTTGATCTATTTAGTTATGCAGGACGGTATGTTAGAGTGGTTGCATACCCGTTTTCATCAAATTATGTTACTTGAATTTCTCGATCATTTAGTAGTTATCCATGAGTTAACTTGTTCCCATTTGTTTGTTCTGGTTTACTTGTTAAAATCCTAAGGATTCTGTATATTCTGCAACGATTTTACCTAAAGACCACGGAGTACACTTTATAAAGTTATATTAGCTGATGCTTTCATGCAGAAACAAAGAATCAAATGTAAAATATTCAACAAACTTACCTATGACTCAAACGATCTGAAGATTAATATTTAAATAAAGGTTCTAGTAATACAGTCGGTTGCTTGTCATTTATAAACTATTTTAATTCGTATTATTTAATTTACTTCAGTTTCTGCATAAATTATGAAACTATGCACTGAAAATATCCTGGAACGATTTCAGCGTTAATGTTGTACTTAGTCACATAATAGTGATGAATTCGTATTTTTTTTAAAATTAAAGGGTTATATCTAAGTTGTATCATAAGTATTTGCAACATTTAGTAAGGGTAATGGTCTGTAGCAAATATAATTTTCTCCTATTCGATAGTACTGTTCTATAAAAATGTATCCACCTTATTCGGGAAAGACTCCTATTTCCCCTTTATAATCATCATTGGTAAAGCTTTTGATCAAGTACTAAAAGGTTAAATAGTTTATAGTTTCGTATGGGTGTTTATTGACATAGATAAATTTTAATTATTCCAAGTGTATTTGTTATTCTAGCAATTGGTTATGAATGACATTGGGACTGGAGCAATTGTACATGGGTCGAGCTATCACACCTCACAACAGGACAAAAAAGGATTCATTAATTGAGGAAACAAAGAATTTAAAACAGTAATACCGGCAATAGAGAGAAAATTAAAATCAATCAATATGGGGCAATGCGTAGTGCGATATTTAAAACTTACAAGTTATAGAATTAATGTCACTGCCACTGATTTAGAACTTTGTCAGTTTAGCATCCTGCCAGTTATTTTGATCATTTTTTTTAACTTTAACCTGAAAGAATACTGCTATGTACATGGCCCCAAGTCAATGCCTGTATGAATTGATGTCATATCGTTTTTTGTTTATTTTAAGTCTTCCAACCAACGTTCCAAGCTAGTTAGTAGTATCTCTAGATAAACATCATAAATCCTGCTCTTTTCCATCAATTGGAAGTTCATTATCTAACCAACTGATTTCCAACCCTTGCTTTCTAATTGACACATAACATTGATGGTTCGAAGGTACCTACAAACAAATACTATTTATTCGTACACACCCTTTACTTTGAAAGGTGAGGTTTAAGAGTTCACTCATGTATGATAGTTGGACATCTCACTTACTCCATAGTTTACTGAACTGAGCTAAAATCGTATAGATGTTTGTATTTATGTTGAAACTTTACCTGCTATTAATTCACTGTTATTAAAACTACTTTGATAATTGAATTGGTACGTTTGTTAATTATTACACTCATAACCTTTGAAACAGATAATAACTCAAACCATAAGAATAAGATTTCAATTAAGTTTCAGGTTGAGCTCATTCTAATGCGAATGTATTCTAGGACAGACTCGATAGAATGGCAACTGATACAACAAATATCTCAACATTAATAATCCATCCTGTTAGAAAGAACATAAGGGATTTTCGGGTTATCTTTGTATTCCGAACATAGTTAAAAATTGAAACAGAACAACTAGGTTTATATAGCAACATTGGCAAACTAAACATGATAGTAATCAATCAAATAGTAGCAAACGTCATTGCAAGAATGTAAATTAAAAAAATGTCGTGGTTAGTTTTTAATTTAACATGCAACAATGAAATACTAGATCACTTGAGCTCTTCTTATCAAGTTCTTACGTTTGACTTATTAATGAACTACTAACACCTTTATTCAAGGGTTTTAAAGGACAACGAGAAAGCATTCAATCGAGCTGTTGGAAATATCAACTATTCTGATGATACAGTTATGGATAATTATAATCCTTGTACATCAAAAGTAAGTCATTGTATTTTGTTTCGTGTTACGAATGTTTTCTCATTATCGCACCTTGTGTACCTTGATTTAGGGCAAACTTCATCGATGAGTAATTTTAAGTGATTAAAAACAATTGTTTTAGTATAATGAATTAAGCTTGTAGTAAAACTATATACAATATTGCATATCAAAGTTTATGCTATGGTAAGGATTGAATGCATGTTGTTTACTACATAACATTGAGAACATTATCCTATCTGATTTTCAGAAGCAGTCAAAGTGTTTGTTCAGCTTGAGGCTCAAATAATTTACTTGGGGTTTACGAGCAAACCATGCCTATTACCTAGTTCTTTCTACTCACATATTTTATCATCATTACTGAGCAGTTTTTATTTGGTTGATATACTGAATGAAATTTAATCAATAATACTTTGGTAACGGTCTGTAGAACTCATTTAATCCTAATAATAAGTAGTATTAAACTTTAAAATTTTTTTATAGATTTTAATTTGTTATTTTTATGGTGTTTAGTGTACTAGTAGGTCGAGTTATTAAAATCGTTTGTCATCATTCCCAATGTTGACAGCCTATTATTATTATTATTATTATTATTATTATTATTATTTTTACAAAATAAGTGACCTTAAAGCTCGGTTCTTGAGATTGTCATCCAGCATCTTATGAAATTTCTTAGCGTAAAAATGTACGGCTGAATCAAGTTTCTTAGCGTAATTTAGTGTTTTTTCTCAGTTTATTTACTCCGTTTTCTCTTATCATTCTTTTGTGGAATACTTAATTTCTTATGTTAAGCATAATTCAGTTCAAGTAAATGGAACAATTATTGGGCATTCTACTATACAAACAAAAATACAATCATGTGAACTACGACCTAATCCAGATCGTTTAAAATTAAGCATATGGGACAAAAATTATCCCACTCAGAAATGTATGTTATCTGTTTTATTTTATTGAAGTTTATTGTTGTGTACAGAAATAGGAAGTTGGTTTTGTAAGCAATGTCGATCAAATTGACTGAAGTACTGTTTGCCTTCAGTTGTTTTCTTGTGAACAAATTTAAAGCGAAACTAATTAGTAGGCTATATCACATTATCTATAGGTGTCTTTAAATATTGCTACATAACAGAAGCATTTTATCACTGATGTGTAAATTTAAGCTGTAGACACAAATACCATCAACACTTATAAATTTTAGTGTCGAAAATATCGCACTTATTTTATATACTTAACTAAGTACTATGTTTCACTAATTACCCCGATTCTGTAATGAATCATTATTAGGAAAAGACCAGAACATTCCCGTTAGCTCAGAACATAATAATTCCTCATGGTCCATCTTAACTTCTACATACATTTGCATACATAAAAAACTAGTGAATTTTCATTTTGGTAACTGATTTCACTATGGGTTATTCTATTTACTTCTTACAAACATCGCACTCACGCTTCTACCTTATCTAATAAATCTAACAGCATGAAAAGACTGAATTTCCAACAATAATACCAGTCAGAAGATAAATGTTAATATGAAGCAAATCTGTACATTACAGTATCGAATAGACAAGAGTCCTTGTAGACATGAACTTTTATGAAGATTATTTGCTTGCCCCATATAACGAGACAACTAATATCTACCTATCACTGGAATAATGTTAGTATTTTGAATAATTTAACTCTATGATGCATTTATGTTGAAAATGTGCATACTATATTAATTTACTCATTCTAAGATAAATTTCTATTCACGTCTTTTTAACATTCCCTTCTCATATTTAATACAGTTTGGCTTCGTCGTTCTCAGAACGGTTGCATTGAACCTGTTTCAGATTTCTTCTCAATTGATGCAGATTTTTCTTCCGTTGATAAAGAAAATGAAAACTTCTTAGAAAAATCACCTATAAAAAAAGTGGAGTTGAAGAACGCTCAATCAACTTGTGGACGTCGAATATTGATTCCTACGACTATTCAACAAAGTCTTAAAACTCTAAGAAACAGTATATCTGTTCCACAAATCGAACCTCAGAATGCTGCTAAACGCTTATGCCTTGGACTCAATAGCTCTACAGTAAATGACACTTGCGGTACGTTTTCTATCCACTCAGTTAAACAGTTCTCGGTTGTTAATTTAATAGATATCCTTTTATAATGTGTATATTTTTTTTAATAGATGTTCTCCAAGTTTACAGTCAAACTGAAGAATTCCCTACTACACCTAAACTGAAAGATCGAAATCAACTTTCATCTTCGATTGTTTCTGCTTCGTGTTACTTTCCAATTCAAGAAAAGAGTGATGATGTTGCAAAAGCTATAGACAATGCTATGGATAATTTATCAGATGATGATAATGATGATAATCTTGAGCGTTCCGAAACTTCTCGTAGCCCAGTATTTTACAAAGCTAACTCAAATCCTTTTCGAATAGCATCTGAATCATATTTATGTAAATCAAAAGTGAATATTGCTAATAATTTCGATATTTCAGTAAAGTCAAATAATGAAAATAAGGACAACTCTCCTGTTGTTCCCAGTAATAATATGCAGTCTACCTGTCGACGCTCGTTTGAGTAAGTTCGGTAAACTCTTTTCTGAATGAAAAATGTTTTGTTTACTTATCATTCAGATTGTATGATTCCTTATAAATCACCTTGTTTATTTTAAAGTTTCAAACATTTCCAATACAAGAAACCCTCTCAACCCTTGTGGGCAAATTCTTCATCGGTTGAACCAAATAATAAACGGCCAAATTCCTTCAATTCTCTGACATCTGTCCTTGACCAATCGGAGACTGAGTTACAAGATAGCTGCTCGTCAACGGAGTCATCTCCAAGTTTTCTAAATTCCCATAAAGTTGTTTCCCATACTTCAAGTTTGCCAAATGGAAAAATTACTTGTAATCGTTTCTCGGAAAACAGTAACCAAAATTCAAGTGTACAAAATTCTCATGTTTCGGATCCTGTACTGCTACTAGATGCAAGCACTTTAGGTTCAAAACAAGATAGCGTAAGTTTCCATGTCTTTTGAACTTAAAAAAATTATTTTGTAATCGATTGAAACACACTTGATCGGTTTTATTCGAGCATTAGATATTTGTCTTTTCACATTTATAGAAAAGCATGAGCATAAAGAATTTGAAAAGGTGCGTGCAACCTGTTTTTCTCTAAAACTATTTAGACTGTAAATAAGGCCTCTCTTCACCATGTTGAAATCAATAGTAATAACGATAAACTCTATTGTATGTCGATACACTTGGCAAATAACTTGTTCTGTTGGTAAGGTCATAATTTGGTGTGAAAGAATCCAGATATATTTATGAATAGTTAACAGTGGTAAATTATATTAATGATTCCCACTTTTAATTTTATTATTGGATGATGTGAGTTGGTATATAAATATACTAATTTTTTTGAAACTGGTGAATAAGAGCTATCCGCTTAAATAAAAAGCGAACCAGTTAGCTGAATCTAGTTTAATGGAAAACTCTTTTCGGTAAAAAGACCTAATGATAGTAGTACTGTTTACATAAAAGTAGGATTGAAACACTTTTTGATAAGCTTTCCCGACCGTAGGTGTTACCTTGACGTGGTGGTCGGACTTGCCTATCGTGATGATCCAACCAAGCGATATTGGCTGGAACATATATTCCTGTAGGTTCTACCATGCCAGGCAGGTCGATTGGAAAACGGTGAGACTAAAAACAGCTACTCAAGGTCTGATGGCGAAGTCGTAGTGCTAACTGCAGAGGGGTGTGACAGCAGTAAGGTGTTTCCGTCAGACAACCGTTATCTGCAGCGATGTTGCCTTCTTATAAGGAAGGAGAGGGTTAGAATAAGTCGACCCTAAAAATGTCACACCTCACGGATTTCCGTCCCCATCGATAAGGTGTGCCTAATAAGGGCTTTGAAAAGAGCGGAGATAATACTCAAAAAACCTTTCACCAAAAGAGCTGTCCGTGACCGGCCTGAAGCAGTTGTCCCTTGGGCTCTGGGGTCACGCTCCCAGGTCTCTAAGACCAACACTAATCTACCTTCCTTTTCAGGTTGCTCAAGAAACACGCTTTCACGGTGTGGGCAGCCGGGAAGTGACAACCGCCCTCATACCCGTACCTGCACAAATCCATAAAGTCACTGACAAGTGGACTGAGTCATGTTGGTAGATGCACACTACCTCATTGGGGTCGGCGAGACGAAAGTCACCGATGGTTAGAGACCTTGTACGACATATCTCAAAACCGTTTGCAATGGCGTAGGTGCATCCGCTCTTTGTGTTCTATGAAATTCTAACCTTCTGAATTCCTCATCATCTATATCTTTTTCTTCCTAAATTTATCTAACTGAATTATACTTCTTGAAACATATCTTTGAACCCTAATCTTCTCCATAACCATTAATTCTTCTACTATCGCTACCACTATGCGACTTGAATTGACAATTGCGTCTCTTTGTTAATTTGGTATGGCGACCTGAACTTACGTACGAAGTTCTACCTTGTGACTGACTGACTTTTGGTAAGCTTTTACATCCTATGAAAGAGTAGCGAGACTTCAAAAAATCAGTTGTACGTAATGAAACCAGATACGTATGACATTGATACATAATTCATGAATCTATAGGTGAAATTGTGTAACTGAAACTCTGTATTATTGTCATAATAATAAAAATTTATAACTCAGATGAATGTTTTTAAACAACATTATCTACATTGATGTATGAGCTAAGACTGTTGTTCAGAACGACAATATGAGTTTCTTGATTAAACTACTATAATGTAATGTTATTATTAACTGTAACTGACAAATTTCTATAAAAATAAGAAATCTTCAAGTCTGTACGAACATAGTCTCATAAAATGGGTTACTGTACTTTTCGTACATTTACTTGTAAGTTTTTATTTATTATGCACAAAAGTTGACATTAATCATTTTAAATTTCCTTTACATATATTGATAAATTTAATGTATTAACATTTTCGCACTTATTTATTCCACAGGTCTCAAAACTATCGAGTAATGTTTTTAAAAGTAAACACTCTTCACATTCAAAGATATCCAACAAAAATCGTATACCATTAGTACAATCTTCAAATTTAGATTCGTTTTTTCAGAAATGGAAATTTAAATAAACCTATCACTGCGTAAATCTATCGTTTTTGTACATAAAAGAGTATATACATACTTAGAGAATTACTGTTTATTGTACCTAGATCCATAACTATTTAGATTACGATTAGATTCTTTTTCTTTCTATTGATCTATCTGTTATTTATTTAAAGATTGGTTTCAAACTATGGCTTTATCTTTGTTTCTTATTGCTTAATTGTAACTTTGATTAATCATTTCCACCTGAGTTTCTGATTAACATATATATGTATGTTTTTTTAGAAGAGTAGTTGAAAAGTATAGACAATAGCCTAATTCATTTGTATTGGTTGGTTGAATCATTCCATTGATGTTTAGGATTGAAATTAATCAGTCTCTTTAGCAAATGTGCAACATCTGCGGATTGCCTCGATATTGCCGTATGGTAATAAGCATTTTTAACAGATATAGATAATAGCCAGCAGTGGTGTTTTGCCCTATTTCGGGGTCGTCAGCTGTATGTGCTGAGGTTTTAGGTCAAACGAAAGCTTACAAATGGGGGTGAATATAAAAATACAAAAATCCAACTGTTTAGTAATTATGCAATAAGAAAAATAATAATAACTTGTAAGGTATTTCAATCTTGCTTGAATCATCTTCGAAATATCCCATAGGCAGATATATATTCATTCATCGTACTTACGAAATCATCCAACCTAACATCAAAATAGTTCATTCTTCATTGGTCATTGTAATTCACTTTGTATTAAATGTTATAAATTATAATTTTGATGAACCGCCTGAATAAATGAATATAGGTCCTCAAAATATTTCGCTGTTCATTGATTAATATAATATTTTAAACACCAATATAATGAGAGTATAATTCAAAGCTGGGTTGATATTGTTTTGAATTTCCATTACTGTCTTTTTAATTTTCATGTTCCTTATTGAATAATATTTTGGAATACAATCATGTTCAGTAGTTTTTGCTGTTATCTAAATTGAATTTCCAGTTATTATTTTGAGACAACACTGGGATAATATTTGTTTACTTCATTTTTTTATACAGTGAGCTAAACTATATAGAATATATGACATTCGTTGTAAAAATAATTAGATGATTGTAAGAAATATGGTCCACATTTTTCTGCTACATTTGTTAAACGAATATACCAACATTGAAAATATCAAGTGTAACAAAAATAGGTCTATAAAACTATCTACTTTAAGTTCACATTACGATGTAGTTATTTTAAACATTATTCGCTCTGATTCTGAGCATTGCAACTTGTATTTATCCAAGCAATTTATCTGCTGTCCAGTCAACCTCTGGAAAATCATTTTCTCAGGTGTAATGTCGGATTTACTTTTGTATAAACGAAACGTCGCTGTCAATTATTGCATAATTTTTATCACTTCGTGATTGTCTAAAACTCAAACCAATGAACAGTGATTTGCGCCAACATATGCCTCGATTGCAGTACGCACATGTAGCCGAACCGGTATTCTATTGGTTCCGACAGAAACGCTTAACCTTAAGGCCACTTAATCGAAATCTGTCAGTTTATATGCTTAACTTTAATATCTACTAAAATTGTTCGTTTTATGGAAGCTAATTTGTTGCTTCCACATTTCAAAATGTTATTGTCATGATTGAGTAGTCACAGTGTGTTTGTAATTAAAAAATTTTTTGCTTCTATCATTTGTGTGTGTGTACTGACAAATAATTAGAGGATATGTAAAAATTTACTAGTAAAATAGTGAAGAATTTTTTTTATTTTCAATCATGAACAATTTGCAATTAATTTCAATTTATTTTATAACATCAAGCAAACAAAAATTGTTACTTAAGAAAGAGACTGGGAATTTTAAAATAAATCATTTAAATGAATAAATCGACATAGTCTTAAAACAGCTGTATATCCCAGATGTGTCATTTGACAAGTTAATGCATTGTTGAAAAAATTGGATTCTGGCACCAAGAAGTCAGGATTAAATGAAACCTGCAATAAGAAAATAAATAAACCTGCGATAAAGAATCGGCATACAACAAATGCTGTAATGTTTTGAATTTGGTAAGAAGTTGTCATTGTTATTTTACTAGTCATGTTGTCTCGTGTGTCTGTTTCGAACAGCTAGTGGATAGTCTATTCAGAAGGTTATATCAGAAATGCCTGTGAAATATTTGGGGAATTTTGCTTTGAATAGGTTTAAATTACTAGAAAATGTCTTTCTTTTAAGATTCAAATGTCATTCTCGGCATTACATTTGTTCCGGAAAACATTCTTTTTTACTCTCCAGAGAAACTTGCTGATTGTTGACTTTTGTGATAATGTAAATCAAATAACAAGGTTTTATTTAATATTGATCAGATGAACAAGTGAAACATACTAAGTGGATCTTATGCAATTATTATTATTATTATTATTGGTATAAGATTACTAAGTATACGTATAAGTCATTATTTATGCAGTTAAACTAAATTCAAATTTATACTTAACAGGCAGAAATGTTTAAACAGTTTTTAAAAGCTCGCCTAACTTACAAATGCAACTACATAACAACATTATCTTATAAATGATTTCACTACAGAGGCGGTCAAAAATACGTTTTTGAATAGTCACAAGGTACAGGGACAGAGTAAATGGAATATATTTTATACCAATCAAGATGTTATCCTCACTTTCAATGATCAGTCTTCTTGATATGCACCCTTTTGGATGGATACCGTTCGAGAGTGCATGTATAGTATCAATACACTGGTGATTATGGACTTTAGTATCGACATTATGAGAAACATGAAAATCTCACCAAACAGTATGTTGAGTCATTTTCAAGAATGTTTGGTGATATTACACACGGAACTGATAGTCTAGTAAAATAAGATTTACAACAAATATGATAGCTATTCCCAGAACTTAAAATTTGATTGAGCCTATATCTTTCAAAGGACAATAGTACAAGTAGCTTCACAAAATCGATATTTAGCAGAAATATTATTCTCTATATGTTTTAAAAAACCTAAAATCACAATAAAGGATTTCTTGAATGATTTGTATTGTTGAACCATGAGATAAACTGTCCAATAAGGATATTCTCCCCATACAGGAGCACTAATCGAAGTATGGAGCGGAAATTAGGCCTTATTCTCGAACCATTGGCATCATATGCTGATTTCCAATTCAGATGTGCTTCATTAGAGTCAAAACATCTAGACATTGTGTGGCGCAAATGAAACTTCATAACATCCTTAATTGCTTGTGAGTTAGTAATGCAGCACCAGGCTCTAACAGAAAATTTTCTTTTTCAGCAACCAGTTGAGAATGTAAAAACTTGGGTTTTGCTAAGCTAATTAGCTATATTCTTTGATGTCTGGTAGTGTCTTTCAAAGTTAAGTTCTGAAATCCAATAAGCGAACAAGTATCGGCTTAATTCAACCGTATCCACAAGATTTCGTTTTGCACCATTTTAGTCGAACTTTAGAAAGATCAGAAATCCATGAAGATTCCCTCAGTCGTTATTGATCGAATCATTCTATAGGAGCTGTGAAGAACGTAAAAAGACCGTCAACTTTTCATGTTGGTAAAAAGTCAAAAGTATTAACTACTTGGTGCCTTATGAATTGAGGTTCACTGTCTGTACGCGAATTCAAGAGCAGGATATGTGTATTGGATTCTGGCGAAATATTTGGTTTTGAGGAAACTAAAATAACTAACCGAATTCACGTAAGAAGATTTCAATCAATATACCTAATGTTGAGGAGTAAAGTAAAATAAATACTGTAAGATCTGTTATTTATTTCCATAACGAATTGTAGTTACGTCATAACTAACCAATCAAATTGTGGTTTAAGCGTTCACCACGTGATCTGATCTTACGTGTCTGTAAACTTTCTTTGTTGTAAATGATCTACTAATTGAAGGACATTGTTATCTTATCATATTGATGTGACTCATAACTTTACTCATTTCCGTAAGACGCTATATTGGTCGGTACGTTTGCTCTCCTTACTTTATAATTGTAATTTCCTTATTTATTGTACTAATTTAATTGTTTTTATGTTTAGAAACAGATAAAGTTTAAAGCGAAAGTTGATCTTGTTATATAACTATAGCTTTCCCATAGACTCTGTGCTCGCCAATATTGCGTTTATAGTTCTAGAAGTTCATCTGTAGGACAAATTAAATCCTACAAGATCCATTTTGGAAGGCTTTGTTTAGGAAAATCCCTCCATGTATACATACATTTGTAATGTGCCCTTATTGATTCCTTTAATTCTAGATTTTGTTAATCTGTTCACTTCCATTTTGAGATGATAATATTGGTATTTTATTAGTTTCTATTTTTTATGTCTCTACTGAGTTTCTATGTTTCTTTCTGAACTGCATTATGTTCTTTAAGTTGATATTTAGTTGTGGCGGCAGTCATATTGGTTTGTTCCCCTGTTTGTTGGAGCGGTTGCAGTGGCTGGAATTGTGCATTTCGATTGTGAATTGGAGCACTCTTCTAGAATTGCAAACATTGAGTTATCATTGAAGGCATAACCAAGTGATCATATTGTTTAGGTAATGATGTATATTTATATTTATGATTAATAATAGAACCGTTATTTACCCAAAAACTTGTTTTGGATTTCAACTGGGCAAGACGCGTGTCTAAACTTCCTTGAGAGTTGTTCCTCATTCAAAACCTCAGTTTGAATCCTGCATATACTATCACAGCATTTTAATGGGTCTAAGTTTAAATTTTTTCTAAAGTAGTAATTTGTTCACATCAGTTCGGGAACTTATTAAACAGGCTAAATATGTATCTGCTACAGTCAGTTTAAACAATAACTTAAAATTGTCACTAAATGGAAATGAACGTACTTGGAATGTGTACTGTCCTGGTGCTATGTCAGTTATATCAACCCATTGACAATCATAGTCGTGTAAATACATATCTCGACATCCTGGACTTATACCTGAAAATGGAAGAGCATTGTAGCGTTGTCGAGTTTCAGTCATAGTTAACCCTTTTTTCTGTATTTTCATTGTCTTGAATTTTAGAAAGAAACTAATAAATTCAATGTATATTGTAACATCACATGATGCACAGAATGTGTATTGCAAAGTTTACAATGCAGTTACAGAAGCCTACGACCATTTTGATTCAAAGAGAGAAATAAATTTCTTATGCATAGTTTGAGACCAGCTCAAATCAAAATTTTATCTGACAAATAGTTCATCATTTTTAGTGAGATAGTAAACTAAAGGAATGAGCTTATGATAACCTCAATGAATTTCCAGTAAGTTTCTAGTTAATCAGAAAAGTTATTTTAAGTGGATAGGGTATGGAAAAGAATAAAATAACATTACAAAATTTCAACAAATTTTACACGAATAACAGGGTTAAGATTTGGGGATGGTCATATGCAGTCTATAGAGACGCAATCGGGCACTATCATTATTTTACTGTGGTGTCAAAGGGACTATTCGCTACTATTTTGAACAATTTATAGAGTTATTTCTATTGCTCGGTATATGTGAATTTCTCTCACAAACCTCAAAGTCGTATTGTAGATCCTAATTTGCTCATCCTGAAAGTATATTTTTACTATGTAGTAGTAGAAACAAGTTTCAAAAACGAAATAGATTTTATCCAAACTTGTAAAACATGTTGTTGGCATGATAATAAATCAAAGCTCATGCATAAGAACTTACGAACTAGTTTGTACTACAAGGATTACGTCAGAAACATTCAGTGTTAGAGTAGTTCATCACAGTGTCTCACACTGACTCCAGATATGATTCAATTCAGAGCCTTCATTCTGTGCGCTTATAGTTTCACCGCTATTCTAAAACTGCATGCTTTTTCTTACACTCATTCATGAACCGTACTAGTTGTAGGATAATGAACAACATCAGTTTACTAAAGATGATCGAGGCAGTCACTATGGTTCATATGAAAATATTAAACCAATGAATTTTAACATCTTGTAACTCATATTAGGTGGATTTCGGTTAGTACAATTAGACTGATCTTTAAATAATCTTGCAGCTGTAAATTTAGCTCAGTTTTTGCAAAACTGAAATAGCTCCATGTATCCTTTGTTTTTTTTAATACTCAACAGTCAAATATGAAAGAAATAGAAAATTTAGTATAAAAAATCATCCAATATTTTGTACGTTTTTACTCTATAAACTACTAACATCATTTTATTCATGATATTATGATAAATAAATAATACTACCTTGTGTTCCTTTACTGTCGACTACATTACTACAACGGAACTTAGGTGCTATCCCAGAGTTGCACAAATTATCTTCCAAACAAAAACTTGATTTATGCCCAACAGCTACTAATCTTTTTTCTGTATCCACAACTTCGTAACGTGAAAAAACTTTCATGCTATGATAGTGCCTATTTAAAGAGATAACAAAAAAAGTTCATTGTACTCAAACTAAGCTCACTTATGTTATGTGATATTGTTTCTCTTACTGATTATTAACCGATATTTCAAAATGATTGAAAACATTTTACAATATGCCAAGTGTTTACAGACAGTATATATGATGAAATGTAACTGAAAGTCATTCCGCAATCTTTAAAAATCAGTATTCAGAATTGATGGAATTCAGGTTTTCTCTACAATAAAGATTTCTAGATCCAAGTAAATATATTTATGTATATAAATATATATTAGTACACACTACATGTTAAGTAAATAAGTTGAACCGCTTTTCAACGCAATTCACAGGGAGAAGTCTGTTCATAAACCTGCTAAACTTGAATCTTAAATGCTATTTTTAGAAATACATGTCCACTCTAGGATGCTCTTAAGTCACTCAATTTCATGTTGATTAGACATACACATTAAATTTTTCTAAAAATACCAATCTAAATTATCAATGTTGGCAGAAAAACGCACTTCTTAACGATACAACGAAAATATTCTACATTTTTAGTTTCACCTCACTTACATATGACATGCGTGCCATTCCCAATTCTCTGGATCGTCTAATGGTCGAAAAACTTCATTTCCAGAGTTTTCGATAATTGATGAGAACCTCATCAGGGTTCTGGTCATCCATGTATAGTTATCTAGATTTAAAAATTCAAACTAAAATATATTTGCAACTCTCGATGTTTCGTTAGAATTTCCTGTGATGGTTAAATCATTACTTACTAAATTAATTATTTACTTTTACCTCTTACTACTAGTGGAGAAGAGGCCACCGACCAGCATTCCACAACCTAATCTGTCCTAGGCCTTCCTTTCCACTTCTGTCCAATCGCTGTTCATTCTTTCCATGTCTGCTCTCGAGTCTTAGTGCACTATGTCTCATAGTCTACCTCCCTCACTTTGGCCTTGAGGATTCTATGTTATAGCTTGTCTTGTGACGCAGTTGTGTGCTCTCTTCAATGTATGTCTTATCTACCTCCAACTCCTTCTCCTTATTTCTTCCTACGCAGAAATCTGGTTTGTTCTCCCCCATAGTTGGTTGTTACCGATGGTGTCTGACAAATGGATCCGAAGTATTTTGCATAGACAACTGTTAGTAAACACTCGTACCTTGTGAATGATAGGTTTGGTAGTTTCAGCTCTACACACTAAAACTGATCAGACATTTGTATTGAAAATTGTGACTTTGGTGTTGATTCCCAGATGTTCCTCAATTGTAGAAATGCTGTCCTTGTTTTGTCGATTCTCTCCTTCACATTTGCATCAGATCCATTGTGTTCTTCAAAAATTCTGCCCATATATGTAAAGGTTTTCGCATCTTCCACAGCGTCGCCATGAAGTGTGATTTGATTGGCGCATGCTGTGTTGTATCGGAGAATCTTGCTTTTCCCCTTGTGTATGTTTGGACCTACTGCTGAATCTGCTGCTACATTGGTCGTTTTCGCTTGCATTTTTTGTTGCGTATGCGATAGGAGAGCAAGATAATCTGCGAAGTCCAGATCGTCCAGCTGCATCCTGGCTATGTACTGCATTCCGGGCTTTCTTTGAGATATTGATGTATTCATAATCCCGGAGATCATGAGACCAACCCTTCTGCCTTATCTGGGCTTGTGACCGGCATTGACATTAGAGTGTTTCCAGGTGGAGTTTTGTGAGGAAAATGCGAAGCTTATTTTTCAAGGAAGAATGATGAAGGACAATTCTGTAATATATAAGATTGTCATGTACTTTATCAGATATTCAGAAAAGAGAACACAACATAAGTCTGAACCAACATACTTTAAGTTATAAGATTTTGACAAGCGAATAGGTCGACAAAATACGATTCACGAGTCACATAAATCTGTCGGAATTTATTCACTGTCTACTCACTATTCACTGTCGCCGATAAAATAACATTTAATTGTTAATTTCAGTTTTGACGTTTCATTGATGGTGTTGTACAACTTCAAAAATAGACTAATGATTAAGTATATAATAAATTAATTAAGTAGAGAATTGTTATGTTTTTCTTGCTTCGTATCATTTGGAATACAAGAGACTGGAATGAATAAACGATGGCTGATATATTTGAATTCAAACTCAAGCTTAAAAGGTTTTTGTTAAATTCACATAAGATCACAAATACAGAACGAAGGACTAATTCGTTAATTGTATAACCACACACCCGCTCGTTAAGTCAAACAAAACGTGAAATAGACTAAAGCAATGAAAAGTGTTTTCACAATAGGTCGAGAAATGTGAAATGGTTCCACCGATTTTCTTTAGAATGATCAAAGTAAGTAAGCAATGAAAAGTAAATTAGTGCATGAAACCACAGGTCCTAAAGAGATCAGTAACTATGACTCTCTTAAGGTAGCCAAATGCCACGTTGAGCAATATTTGGAGCCTTTGAGGGGGTTGTGGTGGCGGCTACCTCTTCGTGGTCCCGCTAGGCAACGTGGCGGTGGACACATCGCTGCCTCCAAAAGCCGTTCCGATCGCTTAGGATACCGTGCTTAGCATGGTCCGGACAAATGGCACCCTCATGGTCGCAAGGCTGCGGATGCGTTTGACCACTCTGGGGGATTAAGACCGAACTTCTCTACGTCGAAATCCCGTCCTTCAAGCGTAGGTAAATTCTTGAAAGGGATGTAGTAGGATGATCGAGGGAGGCCCTGGACGCTATGTTTGGGGAAGCAGCCGTAGACATCCTGGACTACTGACGTCGACCCTATGTGGTTGTCCCTTACACACTGCACCCGAAGTAGTGTGTGAACTGGCGTCGAGGCCCCTTAAACAAGGGTTTCCAGTTGGGTTTCGGTGCTTTTGTGCTGAAAGGGTACTGAACACCAATGATGTCTGCCCACTTCTGTGGGATGAACCCTGCTTGGCTGAGCGCTTGGGTTTGGTCGAGTCCATGACATCTTCCTCATGGAAAGGTGTACGTTCTAGCTGACCTTGTGGGACAAACTCGATCTTTAGCTTTATGTGGGGTTTTGAGGGCTCCGGTCGGTTGTTCAGCGCAGGGTAGTTGGAGGCCAGGCGGTTGGAATGGCTGCTGGTTAGTGCACTGCTTGGGTGGCTCGGTAAACCGCTTCGGGGTGCCAGGTCTAGCTGGGCAAGCCCGCCTTTCCGCCCTTGCCGATTGGGGATTGTGGGTAGTGGATTGGTTGGAGGGATCTTATGATCTATAAGTACCCGGGCGGGGGCTACTGCTCGTGTGCGTACTTTTTGGATGTCCAGCTTGTCTGCAGTCCAATCTAGACAACATGTATGTTCCCGCAAGGGGCAGGGGTCACTACTGTTGGCAACAGTGAGAATCCTTGCGCTGCATATCAACGCAGCGATGTGCATGTGCAGCAGGCCTGTTGGTTGACTATGAATATAAAAGAGATCATTCCTAGATAAAAGGTGTTCAAAGATAGTCACGCTTCTTAACCTTAGAAACAGATAGTTATTCTTCACAGGTATCAATGTATTTTTAAATGGCACTAACGTCATATTAGCATTTTATGAAGTTTTATAAATAAAATTTGGCTAGAAGAAACGGATTTCTACACTTATTATATAAGTCAGTTACAACGTAGAACTTCGTACGTAAGTACATAAGTTCAGGTTGCCATACCACATTAGCACAGAGACGCAACTGTCAGTTCAAACCCCATAGCGCTAGAGACAGTAGACGAATGAATGGTAATGAGGAAGATTAGGGTTCGAAGATATTATTCAAGAAGTGTGACTGAATAAGATAACGTTAGAAAGATAAGGATAGACATGATGAGGAATTCAGAAGATTAGCATTTCATAGAACACAAAGAGTGGATGCACCTACACCATCGCAAACGATTCTGAGCCATGTCGTTCAAGGTCTGTAACCATCGATTACTATCATCTCACGGACCCCAACCAGGTAGTGTGCATCTGCGAACATGACTCAGTTCACTTGTCCATAACTTCATGGATTTCTGCCATGTTTTGGTTTGGCCGCCCCTAGCTTTCTTCCAACCTACTCCAACATCACAAAACATCGCTCATCAAGGTAGTCGGCGATTAGGCATTTGTAACACATCCCAATCACTTCAATTAATGAATTTTCAACACTTCATTTATTGATCTGCCATCCTTACCTAGCATCCGTTCCCTAATGGCAGCATTGCTTACTCGGTTGTCCCAGGATACACGAGCAATGCTTCGGAGACACCTATGATCGAATACCAGCAACTTACGAACATCTTCTACTCTGACTGACGATGTTTCGCATCCAGATAATAGAACTGAGCGACCTCCTGCTCAGTACACTCGTCCTTTGGTTAGAAAATGGATATCTTACGTACCATATAAAAACGTTTGTGATGAACATTTAACGATAAATTGTGAACCAATTTTTTTCATAATGATGAATACTCAAAGTTAACATTTAATATATACTACCTGATGTTCGGTTAACATCGATCAATTATTAACCACTGAATAAATTATAAAAAACCTTAAAAATCTATAGAAATGCTTCATTTCCAATCACATAGCTCAAAATTACAGCATTATTTTGCATAATTACGGTGTTGAAGCTTAAAACTTTAACATTAACAGAAAACAAATACTGAATTTATTTCATTAACCGAATTTCATATTTTTGAATCTATTTAGCCGTTTACCATATTAATGAATGGATTTGGTTTATCATACAAATGTTGCTTTCTATCTAGAACAATACTGGTACATTTTCATTTATGTTATTTTACACTGACAATTATTCAACTACACAAGTAACTTATATTTTTAACGAAATCGCGTGAGGAACATTAGTATCAAGTATAATTAAATAACAGGTTATTCAAGAATACACCATGTAAATTGATCTAGAATAATTTGACACATTTTCAAGACCAAAGTATTTAAGAAAGTTTTGAAAACTTTTAAAATGAACCATTACATTTCAACCAAAACCAGAATCAGGATTTTCAATACAAATGTCAAGACAGTTCTACTGTATGGAGTGGAAACCTGGAGAACCACGAAAGCCATCATCCAGAAGATACAAGTGTTTATTAACAGTTGTCTACGCAAAATGCTTCGGATTCGTTGGCCAGACACGATCAGCAACAACTTACTGTAGGAGAGAACAAACCAGATTCCAGTGGAGGAGCAAATCAGGAAGAAGCGGTGGAAGTGGATAGGACACACATTGCGGAAAGCACCTAACTGCGTCACGAGACAAGCCCTCACATGGAACCCTCAAGGTCAGAGGAAAAGAGGGAGGCCAAATAACACATTACGCCGAGAAATAGAGAAAGATAGGAGGGGAATGAACAAACATTGGACAGACCTTGTGATGGATGCTCAGATCAGAGTTGGTTGGAGAAAACTGGTCGGCGGCCTATGCTCCATTGGGGGTAACAGGCGTAAGTAAGTAAGTAAGTAAGTATTACATTCGTTTAATCGATTTGTTCACTCAACAATCCATCGACAATTAGCTACCAACCCATTGAAAATCAATTAGACTAACGATGCATCACTTTGGTCTGAAAATTTTAAAAATATCATTTTCTATTTAATCTAACTGTTATCATACAAATTAGGTATTGTTGTTTCATAACAGCAGCAGTTTTAATATTTGGACATTCTCTTGTTTCTCTGTATTGTTCTCTCATACTAGTTTATCAAAATTTATAAAAGAGACAATTTGTTTTCAACTTAAGTCATTGGATAGCTTTTGTTAGGATAGAAAATAATTTGAATGATTGCGCCATATATGTGTTTGTTTCCGATTTCATCATTGGGAATACAATTTCCCTATTTTATGTCAGCTTAATCCTTATATCAAAACTATTAAGTTATCATGTGAATAAACTTGATATTCATTTGGCAACTGTGGAGTTTGAAATGAAATTTCTACTAAACTGAGTATTTTGTTGATCATTCTTTTATAAGATATGAAACATTTACTAATTCATTTCTTCCATTCAAACTCACTGTAACATATTGTTTGAAAATAATCTCACTATTTGAGTAGTTAAATATTTTATTTATTGTAAAATGCGTCTACAAACTATGTGCTATATTTCCTATTACAATTAAGTTTTAATATATTGATTAAATTCTTAAATATGAAATTTTTTATTGAGAATAAACTTACGCCATCTTTATTAGTGTACCACACAACAAATAATAGATGGAAAAAGAGATCAACCCCAATGTATGATGAATTACTTAGGCTATATAAACATAATGTGGATCAAACTTCATGCAGAATTTCACATATGATAATTTCGAAATATTTGAATAAATTAGTAAAAAAAGTTTTACATTTTATGAAAATCACTTACATGGATTATTGTCAATAATTCTATACACTATATCCGGTAAACAATTTTCTTCAAGAGCACATTCTAATAACCAAAGACTCATTTTTTGAATATACGCAGAAGTTTCTAAACTATAACGATCAGGTAACAAATCTGGTAGGTCTAATTTTTTTTTTGTTTCAAAAAATATAGAAAAAACATTGAATACATGAAGTATTTTTTAATTACTGATTTAATACATGTATATCGAATGCACAAGTGATGAAATTCTTTGCAAATTTGATGACAACTTTTTTAAAGAAATAGATCATCATTGACTTTCAGTTTCAGTATTAAGCAGATTAGCCTTTCAAACAACACAACTGAGACGACTAAAAGGTGCTTGTAATGTTTTTATAAAACATGTAAAATGATGCAACTTATCAATTTTTTTAATACTAGCATTATTACAGTAAATCCAAATAAAGTCTAGAAATAATGATACCAAATTTTATTTATTTAAACAAGTAAAGTATAAAGTTATTTAAGTATCTCCTACTCTACTGACAGTAAATTAATCAACTTGGTTTTTTTGTAGATTTTCATCTCTAGTAACTTTTATTGACTATAGCGGTAGCTGTTTCATAATCATCTGATATGTCCAAAAAGCTAAATGCATGAATTACAGCTAATCAAGTGGCTCTGTCTGAAGCCTCTCTGGGCCTACTGCCGGACTGGATAAAGGAGGAGGGTCGGCCATGAGGTTAGCGAACCCACACCTTAGAGAACTAACTAGCTAAAAAAACGCTGACTAGAAAAAGTAATTCAAATCATTTTAACTCTGCCCTGGAAGTTAGAAGGTCTACATTCAGAAGAGTTATGACGTCTCATGAAGAGGACCGCGTTTCTTCGGAAGTCATGTGGCCAATACCCTTCTGAAAACCAGAGCAATCATTCTTTTTAGGTACATAAAATGTTTGAACATTATGTGAGACGAGAAGACCATTCCAACTTGCTGCAGAAATGAGAAGATATTACTTGGAGGTGGTTGGAATCAGTGAAACACATCGGAATCAAGTTGAACATCTGAGACTAGCTTCAAGAGAGCTGTTGTTTTACTCCGGCTATGAAAAAGATGTTTCACACACACAAGGAGTTGCACTGATTCTGTCCAAACAAACACAAAAGTCACTGATAGAATGGGAATCTCAAGGACCAAGGATCATCAAGGAATCCTTCAAAACTAAGAAAGGGGGCAATACAAAGAACTTCATCCAATGCTATGCACCTACTATCGACTACTGTGAAGACGTTAAAGATCAATTCTACGAAAGGCTGCAGTCAATCGTCGACAGATGCTCACCAAACGATTTGATGATTCTTATGGGAGACCTAAATCACAAGGTTGGCGTGAACAACACTGGATATGAAGACATCATGGGATGACATGGACTGAGAGAAAGGGAAGAAGATGATTAGAGATTTGTAAACCTATGTTCCCTCAACAGATTCATCATCGGCGGCTCAGTATTCCCATACAAAAAGATACATGTATTTCACGGGATCACACTACTCTAAAGCAAATTGACCATATCTGTATCAATAAAAAGTTCGGAGAGGAGCTGATTTAGCATCCGATCACCACAACCTGGTCGCCAAGATGAAACTGAAACTCAAGAAACACTGAACATCTGGGCGGACAACATCAAGCATGTTTAATACGGCATTTCTTCGGGATACCGTAAAACTCAACGAATTCAAGATAGCCCTGAGCAACAGGTTTCACGCTTTTCACGATCTACACAATGAAAAGGAAACCACTATCGAAAGCAACTGGAAAAGGGGTCAAGGAAGCAATCACTTCAACATTTTGGGAGTTTGTGATCCACAAGAAGTACCATTACAAGGAATGGATCTCTGTTGATACTCTTGCAAAAATTGAAGAAAGGAGGAACAAGAAGGCGGCAATCAATGTCAGCCAAACAAGAGCATAGAAAGTTACCGAACAAGCTGCATACACAGAAGCAAACAGGCAGGTCAAGAAGAGCATCAGGGTCGATAAACGAAAATATGTGGATGATCTATCAATGACGGCGGAAAAGGCTGCAAGAGAAGGAAACATGAGACAATTGCACGATACAATAAAGAAGCTCGCTGGAAACCATCGTAAACCAGAACGACCAGTGAAAATACAGGAATGCAAAGTAATCAGCAACATTGAAGAGTAGGGAAACTGGTGGATGGAATACTGTAAAAACTCTTGAGTTGATCAGCCTCACTGAACCCACCCATCATCGAAGCAGAAACCACGGACCGCCAAATCAGTGTTGGCCTACCGACTGTTGAAAAGATCAGTATGGCCATCATACGAATCAAGAGCGATAACGCAGAGGGACCAGAAAACATTCCAGAAGAGGCAGTGAAAGCAGACGTATCAGTAACTGTAAAGATACTCTACATACTCTTCAGCAAGATTTAGAATGAACAACAAGTGCCAACTGACTGGAAAGAAAGACAACTCGATCAAGATACTAAAGAAGGGGGATCTCAGCAACTGTGAGAACTACAGAGACATCACTCTTCTCTAAATACTAGGCAAAGTCTTCAACAGGATATTGTTAAACAAAATGAAGAACTCCATACACTCTCAACGTCGAGATCTGCAGCCTGAATTCCGTATAGATCAATCTTGTATTGACCAAACTGCAACATAACGGATCATTGTAGAACAAATAGTTGAATATAACTCACCACTCTACATCAACTTCATTGACTAGGACAAAGCATTTGACAATGTGGACAAGACAACACTATAGAGGCTCCTTCGCCACTACGGCGTTCCTGAGAAGATAGTCAACATCATAAGGAATTCCTATGGTGGATTTAACTGCAAAATCGTGCACGGAGGTCAGCTCACACACTCGTTCGAGGTGAATACAGGTGTGAGGCAAGGTTGCTTACTCTCACCCTTTCTCTTTCTCCTGATTCTCCAATACCACACAACATGCGCCAATCAAATCACACTTCATGGCGAAGCTTTGGAAGATGTAAAAAACTTTACATATATGGGCAGAATTTTTGATGAACACGATGGATCTGATGAAAATGTGGTGGCGAGAAATGGCAAAGCAAGGACAACATTTCTAAAATTGAGGAACATCCGGAACTCAAAACAACCGTCAAATGACATCAAAGTCATAGTTTATAATACAAATGTCTAAAGAGTTTTATTGTGTAGGGCGGAAACCTGGAGAACTACCAAAGCTATCATTCACAAGGCACAAGTGTTTACTAACAGTTGTCTATGCAAAATACTTCGGATCAATTTGTCAGACACCATCAGTAACAACCTACCGTGGGAGAGAACAAACTAGATTCCTGCGTAGGAAGAAGTAAGGAGAAAGCGTTGGAAGTAGATAAGACACACAATGGGGAGAGCACACAACTGCGTCACAAGACAAGCTATAACATAGAATCCTCAAGGCCAAAGTGAGGGAGGTAGACCATGAAACATAGTGCACCGAGCATCGAGAGAAGACATGGAAAGAATGAACAGCGATTGGACAGAAGTGGAAAGGAAGGTCTAGGATAGAGTAGGTTGAAGAATGCTGGTCGGCGGCCTATTCTCCACTAGGAATAAGAGGTAAGAGTAAATAATTAATTAATTAAGGAAGTAAATTAGCAAGCGAAAACACTAAACATTACAACAATGTGCATCATTATAATGATCTTATAATGATCACATCATATCAATTGATGAGCAGATTAAGTATAAACAAAGTCTCAGATTCTTTTTTTCGGACTAGTCAATATTTAGTAGCGTAAAATTGACATCGAGAAATCAGTTGCAATTCATTGAGTTGGTTTTCGATTACTTATATATGTTTTAATTTTATGATGAATAATCAAATTTTTTGAAAATAAATAAATAAAAGTAATCTAAACTACAGTAAAGCAATAAAGTAAATAACAACTATCATGAAGCAATTCAATTTGTTCAATTACAGGTTTTTATAAGTTTAAACGTTGAAGTGATATTTGATGAATATATATATTTTACACCTAAAAACTACGGAAATTCATGGATAAATGTATTCTCTTATTTTATCTATTGTTATTTATTTAACTATTGATATAAATATGTATACAACAAAGAAACAAATTAAATTAACTAATAATTTAATAAGATTAATAGTATATAGATCCATTCTTACCATAAGTACATTCAACAGCTGCTGCTAACTGGGATTGACATGGTATACCATTGTAATCGATATAACTTTTACAATGCTTTAAATTAGTTTCATTTCCATAACAATATCCAATTATAGCAATTGAATTAGTAGCATTGATTCCAGTTTGTTTGACTGGCATCTAAAAGATGTGGAAGAAATGACAATCAAATAGAAATTCTAGTTTTGATTAGTTTCTGTAGATCAAATTATGTTAGTAGAAGTAATATATGAGTAATTATGTAATGTGATCAAGTCTTCGGTGGATCAAATTGAAAACGGCATTATTTAATGATTACTTTTCCAATTTACATATATTTGTTATAGTTACACAAACATACATCAACGTTTTATTGTTTTTTGAATTCACACTTTAACGATGTACTACTGCTTTACAAATTGATCTAATTCATTGACAGAAAAGTTTATACTTTATTTGATTTCGAAATCCTTACGTTTTAAAATTGTTAAATTTTGAAGATACGGAACGTATGTCCAACGAATCAAATAGCAAACTCTATGAAATGTTTATTCAGTCAATTATTACTTTTTTAACAAAGAACTAATTGAAACATACCGGAATTACTCTGCCTCCATGACCAACATTTAATTGATGACAAAATACAATAGCTTCAGCTGAATGAAAATGATCCGAACATACTGTTCCTTTTGTTCCGTTAGCTGTTTCAATTATTACTGGAATGAATGTAGGTATTCGTACATGTTGACTCAAGTTTGATTGTTGGTTGATTACTTTGAAATCTACCTAATTGATTTAAAGTGGGAAGATATTAAAATTTATTTATGTGTTAAAAAAAATGTACAATGTGACTTTTTTCTATGAGGACTTATTATCTACACCAGCTGATAAGCAATCAGCCTTAGTGACTAGTCGAATTCTGTGGAATTATTTATAATGTGGTAGAGAGTTTAGAAGAATTGAAAAGCCCATGGAGATTTTTTCTAATGTCAAGTGTTTTTAAACTGTTGACAGAAAGCTATGGACCTGGCGGTCGTGCTATTTGGCCCTTCTTAGCCCGAAGTGTTATCAATTTCATGAGAACCGAAACTCTTCGTGTGGTTCAAACACAGGTCACTTTTAATCCTAGATACAGATGTTATTTGGACGAATACTGATTCTCGGTTAAACTGAGGCATTCACACTAACTTGACTGATTTGGTTTCATCAGATCAAAAAAATTGACATAGATTACTTAATAGAGTTTATACTGAATAAATGTACTGTTTCCTGATTAAGTAAATTTGGAATTAGACAAAAACGCTTAGCTTGTGAATACTGTTAGAATTAGAGATCGTTCACAGACACCGCATTTTTCTAATGGTGGTCTAACACCTATCGATTCATGGTTTCAAAAATGTGTAACTTAACAATCTTCACAACCCCGTAATGCAAATAACCTGTGCTCAACTAGTGACTAGCTTCGTGAGGAATCTTCTCGGAGTTATAGTGGGAAGACGTGACCAGTCAAGTTCAACCTGTTCGGGTGTAGACGGTGTCTACCGAAGACTGTGTATGAGGTTGCGCAACTCCGTGAATTGATCAAGTGAGACATTAAAACCGTTAGATACCGGCTCAGTGGTCCGATGGTTAGGCTTTCGCCTACAATACCGAAAACTCTGAGTTCGAATCCTGCGGGGTGCAGGAGTCGTGAATGCGCACTGCTGAGGAGTCACATACCAGGACGAAACGGCCGTCCAGTGCTTCCAGGTTTCTAATGGTGGTCTAACAATGATCGATTCATGGTCTCAAAAATGTGTAACTTAACAATCTTCACAACCCCGTAATGCAAATAAAATAGATATTACATTATCGGAAATATGGACGAAAGTGATTGAAGTGTGTATAGTTTACCGATGACTAAACAGTAAAGTGTAGAAATATGTTAAATAACAGGCATTCATCCATTTGAAGAAAATGTAAATGAGTAACGAAACGGTTATAACTTCTAAATTTAGAATAGAATTCTAATTATTATTTTTCAAAAATAGACTAATATAAATAAGTGATATCAATTTTTTTTAGAACTCTTGATACAACAATGAAAAGCAGGAGTTGATGTATTTGCGTTATACTTTTTGAATAATCTGGTCACATATACACTTGTCAAGGTATTTTCTATGAAAATTAATTTCAATTTGAACTTTTATATAATTGACACATTATTCGAAAAGTATAGTTCACATAAATTACATTTTTCAGATCAACTTCTGCTTTTTATTGTTCCAAAAAAATATTAAACGATAATGAGAGCTTAGAAGTCCTGTTTTGAACGTACAACTGAGATTGGAAAGTCATAAATTAGAAATTATCTTGATTTGTTTAGACTTCTGTTCCGTCTTCCCTTTAAGCTAGATTATCTAATTTTATAGATGATTTTGAAAACTGCTACCCGAAGGATTACATGTCTAGAATTGATAAGGTGTTCGAAAACAGAACACTTAATCGTACTATATCCATCTTTGGACAACAATAATTAATTAAAGCAACTCATCTTGTCAATGAATGAAAATAAAGAGAATTCAGTGAAGAAAACTTTCTCTTTGACTAAGTTATTTACTTAGGCTGTACATCATTGATATTTATGAATGTGTAAAGAGAGTAGATCGATAACTCAATGGTTGTTCTAACAAAATAACTTGCTTAAAATGAAGTTGTTTAATAAATAAAAAAGTTGATTTTTTAACAGAAAATAGTTTATTATTTGCCTACTTTAGACATTCTTTCTAATTCCAGTTGACTGAATTTCAATTTAAGCGGATTCCAAACAGGTTTATTGATTATTATAGCTTTTTGAGCACATTTTACACCAGCTTCCTCATTTAATCGACAATCATGTACTCCCCAACCATTGAATCTACAATCAGTTAAACGTTTTTCATTACCAATACAATGAACTTCGTCCATTAAATAGTTTGCTGAAATGTAAAAATAACAGCGCCTTGTAAATTATGGGCTAACTATTTATTTATCAAAACGTAGTTAGTTATATTGTGAAGTGTGATATTACTTCATTTATGGGAGGTCATTAATTTATGTTCATTATTCGTAAAACCACTTTTATTACTATTGTTTTCAAAAAAACAAACTGTTGAACTTAGTTATTCTAAACGTTTGTTTAAATCATTCCTTTAAATATCTTACGAATTAATAAGCAGGTATTTTATCAAATCCTTGAAAAACAAAACCAGTCGATAAGTTAGAAGCACATAGCAGTGACATAAAAATGTGGATGATTTGTTCTGAGTGCTTAAACATAAAGTATTTGCTATTTCTAGGTGATATCCTCTTAGAAGTATAAAAACTTATCCGAGGAAGTAACATAATATTTTAATAATTACAATATATATATATATATATATTAAAGTAATTAGAAATGGTATTTAAATAAGCAGCATGTTCCATCACTAATTTTCTGATTGTATCATCATTCTTAAATTAATAATTACATAGAGTAAAGAGGATAACATATGGTGACACGAGATAATTGTGAAAGACTTATGAATAGTTATCTTCAATAGTAATAATTTATAAAAAAGTTAGTATTTGAATCAACTGACCGCTATTCTAAATTACTGTAATTTTATAACAAGACGTCAAATTGTATGATTACATACTAACTGCTGTAAGTTACTCGAAGTCATATTAATCTTTGAATAAGTCTTGATAACTATCCCTAAGATTATGTAATTGATGTTGAGATTGATAACTTATCAAGAATTTTTTATTTCATGTATTTAATCATCTGATCACTAGTTTTGTCATTCAAATTCAGTCATATAGAATTTGGAAATAGTGTCATTTGAGTAATCCAGATCATCTGAGCATTTTTTTTCACGCTGATTGGAGACAGTATGCTTAATTAAATAATCGGGAAAAAAAGTGTTTTAAAATGTTTCACATTTCAGGTTATATTTATTTGAAAGTTCATTTCATTAACCGCATTATGTATTTCCAAATTTCATGTATATTCAAGACAAAACTTATCGACTTTCAGACATGGTTCGTTGGTGAGAAAAAGAAAAGAAAAATTTAGTACATTACTTGAACCATATGTGACATTCGCACTTTAATGAGTCTACATCTTGTCCAGTTAATGACTTCAAAGCTGAATTGAGTAAATAATTCATGTTCAATGATCTGTCTTATAAATAAGTTTATTTTCGATACTGCCTAGTTCACTGTCATGTCATATTTATCAAAGGAGCCAATGACTGTAAAAGGACACAGTACATTAAATTCAGATTCATTTGTGACATTTTATTGGTGGAATAAAATCATAACTAGGAAATCTTGGAAAAATTCGTTCCTGCTAAATAACTATGCTGCAATGTTTTTTTTTCATTTCAGTTTAACTTATGTGCTACCTATGAAGTAAATAAGAGGAGAAATATTATGAATTTTGAGTTCATATATATATTTTCGCAGTTTGTATTTATTGAAATTGAAAATATACAAGATTGAAATTACACACATCAGTCAATCTTCCAAAATATCACAGTTTTCACTGTCCGCTTCCAAAGAACATGTATGGATAGATAGGATGAAGTTGAACTTAAAGAGAATGATCATTGGTTACTCAGTGATTTTCATTTTTATGTTCTGCTTAGCATCTTTAATTATTTGAGTTTTTTATCAGAACGATCAATTTGTCATAATAAACTGACTACAGAGTAGGATATTAAGCATACTCTAGGATTTCCAACCAAATGTAAAAAGAATAAATAATGGTAAATGAGAATCGCAGATGATTAATTGTGACTTAATTTGATAATTTCAAAACTATGATTTTCAAAGCTCTGAATTTACTGTAGAATTTCGCTACAATTTACATATAAAATAAATTATAAGGACTCAGATCTAGTGAAATTAGAGTTAAGATAGATAAATGACTGTTTAAAAACTATCAGTTTACTCTTCATTCCAGAAAATTATTATAATTGTATAGGAAAAATTTCTATGGAACAATCGAATAATCACAAATGTCTTTATCTTATCGATAAGCACAAAGATTATACATGTACATCTACAACCCAATGCTTTTATTTTTGTTAACGATATTTGCATGTAAGCAAAGCATTGATTATTTAGCATTTAACTCTCTGTAGAATAAGCACAATGTTATAGATCATATCTATATTTACTTTCTAGATGAAAAGATTTTGATTAAGTCGTTCACTGCTGCTAAGACTACATTCCAGTGAATTAGACACAATAAATTTTATTCATCTTTTTTCTCTATGTCAGGCTCATTTTGATTCTCGAATCGTGGTTATATAAAATTTAGTTAAGTAAAACGAGTCAAAGAAAGCACCTGAAAATATATTATTTACTGGTGAGTTTAAGTAAAAAGTACATTTGACTACACTATGCAGAAATATTTTATGATAGACTGAAATGAAATTTTATATCACTAACCTTGGGAGCTTGATCCAAATCTATTACGTCTATGTACTTCAAGAGCATGGCCCATTCCTAATTGTCTACAGACAACATTTGCTTCTTTCATTGTCCAGTGATCATCACATACTTTGCCCCAGCCATAGGTTCTATAAACCAGTACCGTTCCAGTTTGTTCACTTGGACCATCGACTAATTTAATATCACCATCATTATTTACTGAAGAACACCATACATTTGTAAAGAAGAGATTCACAACGATTGTAATGATAATAGTAATAATAGCCTTGTTATTACTAAATAAAATGTTATCAGAATTAATTTTGGACATAATAAAGTTATTTCTCAGTACATTTTCAATATTTTCTCTCGTTTATATACTGAAATTAGTTTCTTGCTAGAATAATTTGAAACTGTACATATTTTGACTTAATTTCTTAGTATGTTTTATTAGTATGAATATGTAGATCAAGATGAGTAGAAACGATTTTATGAATGCAAATGAGAGTGTGAATTAAATAAGTGACTTATTCTACATAACTCTCATAAGTAAGATTAACAATATTACCAAATCACATTAAATTACAAGTAAATAGTTGAACGGTTAGTTAGCTCGTTAGTTAGTTGATTAGATATATTTGTTATTATCACGAGGAAATAATCAAAGTTCGAAAATGATGTTTGTCCGTAATATATTTTACATAAGTCGATAAATGTACTGTTTTTTGTAGCTAAATAATTCTTATCAAAAACCACTTCTTGAAACAAAATTATTTTTCTTTATTTCTGGAGTTTTTTTTGTGTAAGATATGTAAAAATGATAAACATTATCGTTTTACAGTTACATATAAGCTAATAAGTAAGAAAGAATGCATGTAAGTATGCACATTTTTCACTGACCGGTTGATCATTTCGAGCATTGGATAAACCACCCCTTAAGAATATTTCATATTGGGCAACCGGTCATTGTCACTGTTACGCATGCACGTAAACATATCATTTTGATATGAATGAATTATTACGAGTTCATCTTAGTCGGAAAAAGAGAGCGAGGATCCGGTGACACGACACGCTACTCTAATCTGATTGTCCCAACCTCCATTAAATAAAAGAAGAGGACTTGATATGAAGTAGAACCTGTATTTCACAAACATTCAGCAAGTACGAGGTCCGAGTCCAGAAGAGAATCAGAATCCTAAATTAGGGATCCGGGTCCGGCATATAAAACGTTACATAGTTAGGATGAGCAATGGGAAACAACATTGAAGTATGTGACACTGACAGTTAGGACGACCATAATATTGACCAGTAGGAATTAACCAATAGGACTTGACCAACAGAACTAGACTTACAAATAATTCTCTTAAGATATTAGATGAATGTCCTAACAGTCACCCATCATTACATCATAAAATTAGTGTTAAAATTTGAGTCCGTAGACATGTACTTTATGAACATCCAAGATTTAATAATCTTTTTAACTGGACAAGCTCAACAACTATTTTTGATAAAAATAAATTACAGCATAAAATAGTCATCTAGAAAGATAAGTGCGTTGTAAAAAATCATGTAGCATTAAATTATTATTCTCATTTCATTTCTATTCGATGTTGATTACTATAATTACTACTACTCACAGTCGTTAGAATCTTGAAACTTCTGAGATATCTTCCGGAATTATGTTTATCGTAGAGAGCTTTTCGGAGTACAGCGGTAGTGTAACAAGGTGTTGCTTAGATTAAGTTAGAACGAAGCAATAAGGAAACTAAATTACTGGGATCAAATGTCACTGCTGTGGACGCTGCACATAAGTGCATGAATCTTTGGTTATTTCATCGGTTCTTATATAGACATTTGCAATTATCGCTGTGCTTTGCATTATAATAATTTACCCTAGGTTATGTTTTATATTATAGGAGCTGCTGGTTTCAGACATGGATGTGGATATATAGACCAGATATTCGCATTGCGTCAGATCCTAGAACATAAACACACATTTCGGCGTCCGAATATAGTTGCATTCCTCAACCTTAACCCACGTTTGACTCCGTTGATCGTGAGGTTCTGTAGAATTGTCTATTATTGAAGAGGCATACCAACTAAGTACATTAACCTTCTAAAAACTTTTCACTAAAACGTTACTGAACGAGTGAGAGCATATGGAGAATTGTCATCGGAAATGATTACTTCAGGTGGCGTCCGTCAGGGCTTTGACTTCTTTTCCATTCATGCTCAACTTTGTCACTGATTTGCTTTTTGATACGACACTTTAATTTCCTGACTTTTTAGGGGTTGACGTTTTACCAGGAAAATGCCGATGACATAGTTCTACTTAGTGAAGACACTGACAAAATGCAGTTTTCTGATCACTTTAAGCAACAATGCAAGATGTTTGGAATGTGTTTTCCCCCCTCCAAATGCAAAACGTTGCTTCCAGATTAGCTTCCGTCGGCCCCCAGTCTATTGATAAGGAGTGAAGTGGCTGGGCGTGTCGACCGCTCCACTTATCTTGATAGTCCCATCACGGATACAGAAGCCCTGACTGGCTCTTACCAACCTACTTGACTTGTATCGTAGGCGAGATATCCCTTTGCTATCCAAAGGACGAGTCTACTGAGCAGCAGTAGGAACATGCCCAGTAAGGGTTGAGGATATTCGTAGGTTATTCGTAATCGATTATATATGTCTTCAAGGCATAGCTCGTGTATCCTGGGACAATCAAGTAAACGATGCAGTTGTTAGGAAACGAGTGCTAGGTGAGGATAGCTAATCAGTTGATGAAGTAGTGAATCTTAAGTAGTTGAGGTGGTTGTGATATAAGGGTAGGCTGGAAAAAAGCTGGTGGAAGCCAGACCAAAACATGGCACAAATCCATGAAGTCAGTGACAGGTGGACTGAGCCATGTTAGTGAGTGTAGACTGTCTGGTTGTGGTCCGTGAGTTGATAGTACCGACGGTTAGAGACCTTGAACGCCATATCTCAAAATCGTTTGCAATAGCGCAGGTGCATCCACTTTTTGCGTTCGCTCAACTTCTAATTTTCTGAATTCCTCATGACCTTCATAGTTCTCTTCTCAAGTTTATTTCACTGGCTTATACTCCTTGAATCACAGCGTCAAACCCCAATATTTACGATTACTGCTAGTAATTCTACTATATCTACTATTGTGGGATTTGAATTAATGATTACGTCTCTGTTCTTATGTAGTACGGCTAATTAAACTGACGTTCGTACGTAAAAAATTATACATTGTAGCTGCCTGACTGATGATTACAGATAGGTTTTAAATGGAATGCGATATGGCTAATCATATTGATAGATTCAAAGCAGAGAACATAGAAATTTATCACCATATTGGGCGTATTCTGAAAGAAAAGTATAGCAAAAAAGAATTAATTAATTATAAGCTAAGAAAAAGAATTTCAATGTGCGCAGAAGCTTGCTTTTACATTAAGATGTAGATCGAATTTTAAGCAGTTGACAGTCAGACTTGAAAATGTCATTAGCAATGGTGATACAAATTGTTTATAAATATCGCACTATTGAAAAAAGCAAAAGAAATCTTAAACACACAAATTTGTAAAGTGATAATCACATATTTAATAGTACTGAATTCAGGAAGAACTGTGTGAAACCAAGATATCAACGGATCTCTGCAGTTCTACTACGAAGAGCGCTTTGAACAACCACTCTTTCTACTCATGTTGTAGAACTCTGAGTGACTCATGATGGCACTCAGTACCTCGAATAATGGTCTGACGCTTAACAAGTCTCATTCCTTTATTCCCTCCAAATCTAATAATATCTGAGACCAAACCAAGAATTTTCAAAAACAGCGTTAGAATAAACTCAGAATACTACCTCTTATTTTACCTGATTTGAAGGCGTGCGTTTGTTTCGATGCCATAGTTTTCTCCATGCCCGCAGCTATCGCGTTACTAGCCTGGAGTCTTTTTACTTACAATGTGGAAACTGATAAGGATAAAGCTCTTATGCTAATGAGAACAAAATTTCATCCCCAAGTAAATCAATAACAAAGTTAATTAATTGATGCTGAAGATTGTGCTAGAGGTCTGAAGTGTAAGTAAAGGAGAGGAAACAGGTGTGGGGGAATTCAGTGGTTATTAGACCGAGATCGCGCTCTGGAGATACATTAGAGAGTGCAATTCCGTTAAGAATGTGAGTCGTTTGTGTTACGTGGGGTAGAATTTACATGACGTGACATTTCGACTGGTTTACGTTTAGACCGTTTTCCACTGCCTATTCCTCAATAGATGTAATGTCCCTTTGGAACTCCGTCGAAGACCTCTAGATCTTTGCGTCGTCTGTGTATATCAGTGCCGACAAGCTAACTTCGCCTAGCAGATCGATAATGAATATCAGGAAGGGAAGAAAACTAAGATGCCCCCTGTGAAACTCTCGATGTTGAGACTCACCAGTTCTCGTGCACTCTATTCACCTTGTTGCGAAACTTTCTATTTTCAAGGTATTTTCTAAGCCAAGATAGGACTGGGACAGTGAAACCCATTTCCGCAACTTATGCGATTGGGCGTGCGTGGGGTACTGTCGAAGACTTTTCCAAAGTCTAGAAGGATCATGTTCACACAGCAGAATGTCCAACTGTTCCATGCTATGAGAAGATTTGATGCGCATGACTAGTCTTTCCGAAACCTATGTTGAGCTTCGTGAAGTATTCAGTTCCTACCCAAGTACTCCCTCATCTGTTCATTCACCAGCCTTTCCATCACCTTTGATATTAATGGTAGCAATGTGACTGGTCTGCAACAGGCTTGGTCCTTTCTGTCTCCTCCTTTGAAGATTGGTGAGAGTAGCTTGTTTCTGTTGGTGTGACTCCACTGAACAAGTCACAAATCAGTGAACTGAGGTCTTCTGCACACTGTTTCAAGACTACCTAGCGAATATTGTCACATTCTGGTGACTTTACGGGGATCAAGGATTTCATTTTCCTTAGTACCAAGTTCAAAGTGAGTCAGATATTCCTAAGCCATCAGCTAACACTGGATTTGAGTAGTATTTTGAAGATATGGATACTTGGTTTACCTGACCGGTGAAGTTTGTGTTGAAGATCAAAGCCATCTCCCGTCTGGTGAGATCTTCGCCATTCGGACCTTTGAGGGGAAACACATCCTGATTCGTAGATTTTGTTTTTTTCACAAACGTAAGCAGATGCTTAGCCTCTGCCCATATTTAGAAAGTCAGCTTTATCTGAAAGCATCTTCTATTACTTCGAACTTTTGTGTTTGATCTGTTTCTGAATGCCAAGTAAGAACTACGATTGAAATCCTTCAAAGAGACGTTCCATTTGTACCAGGCTATCCTTTTCGCCGGTAGAAAGTGTTCAGTGCTGCTCCTAACCCATGTCTTTCTGTCTCCAAATGCATGGTGTGCCTGAGTTAGACTGTTTAGGACAGCATTCTGGGTGTTGTCACTCACTGCTTCCCAGTGATCATCTACTGTCGGCCTCCACCATTCTCGAGACTATGGGGCATGTAGAAGATTCTCCTTCGTGTATATGTGATTAGACTTAGTGCGGCAAAGATAGGGCTCGTTCTCGGCCGGCCTGAGTGTTTCGTTTATGGCCATGTTAAACAAAACTCTGCCATGGTCGTTAATTCCGATTGATGTACAGACGTGCGATCCCGTATTTCTCAAAGTGTTCGATGATCTGAAAGCCTTGTTCAACGGATTGGTATCGACTTATTCAGTGAAAACTTTCAAGTGGAAACTGAATCTTCAATGTAAAACAATCTGCAAGGATTATACAGGTCCATCGACATGCTATCCTCATAAGTGAAGCGTATCCGATAGAACTAGCAGAATGAATCTATAGACTGATAAAAAATATATTTAAAATTGAAAAATAACTGCAGTCTTCATTGAGAACTTTGTTTAAAAAATTTTGAACTGTAAGGTTGAAATTTATCTCGAACAAACACCGAAGTTGATATTTTTCTCTGCAGCGGCTGTTTTAAGCGTTGAGCTGCAACGCTTTCCTGTGTACAACCCTCAGGTTAGTTTTTCAGCTTTTTGAGTCCGGAAACTAGTCAATATGATGTATGGATCAGAGTTTCCATCACAACTCATTTCATATACCAAATGTCTTCGACTTCCAGAAGACCTACATATTTCGATCTCACAACTCTGGAGAATTCACACTGAGTTTTCAGGTTTTCCTCAAAGTCAGTGAAGATTTCAGGGTCTTTGTCCGCGTTTCACTAAATTCCCCACCGTAATCTCCAAAATATTTCCCCCTAATCGATGGGAAATCTGCTCAAAGTCGGAAGTTTGAGCTCAGACTTGTGGAAACATCCAATATCTTTTTCACGAGCTAGTGTAAACCAACTTGATTTCTTCGCGCTCGATTCCTGTTCTTTCGGTACGGTTCCAGGTATTCGGTAATGTCCAATGAATGGAGGTCTAGCCACTCGACTGTCGAATTCTAGTCAGTTGGTTGTGAGTTTGTATGTCTCGGGATTTGAATGAAACGTTTGTTTCAGGGCAGTAGGGTTTCTGGATACATAATAATGTTACATACAATAATATTCAAGCCAGCCGTACTTCTCGTAAAAAATCATTTCTTCGTATATGGTAAGAAAATTTAATGGTGTCTCCAAAACTACACGCTTGTTTTCTAGCAAATCCCATCTCTTAACTTAACTGACATAAACCTTGCTAGCAGTTTTGGATAGTTTATTATGATGCCACTGAGGGAAGTAGATTATCTGTGATCATCCTACTTCTGTTGTCCAATCTAAAATATGCCAAACTCTACAGTCCATCAAATGACTGGTCGATTCTAATAGTTCCACAATTCATGATATTTCTACCCTATGTTCATACTATAAGACGTAGTTCATTATTAAGCACGAATAAAGGTTGTTTTCCAGACCACTCCTGGCTTGTTTTTTGAGAAAGACCTACGTTATATTTGTCTATTAGTTGATATGCATTGTAACGACACCATGTCCTTTGAAATAAATTAAGAACAAATCAATCACTTTGCCGTTGGTAAGCTTTAGTTCACTCTAATCGGGCTCCTACGCTTATTTCCCTCCCAATCTTTCCATATTCATCAGGATGAATCACTAGAAATCCATTATCTTCCTTACACAATATATTTCACATAACAACTTTAATCTGATAACTTGTTTTGGTTCTGATAACAGATGAATCCCACTGAACTGTGCAAGCTGTTTCCTTTTTGATGGCTGTTAATTCTGTTATTCCGTCCGAACTTCGTCAATTAAGAGCCTGCTTATTGTGTGGTTTGGTGAAAACTCTTAACCAATTTCAACTGAATGGATGCGAAAATTGCGAGGACTTTCTAAAAATGCAAGGAGACAGAGAGAAAGTATACGAATGTTCTTCCGCCAACTTTGACGGTTTACTTGCTATGATGTCACCAAACGACAGTTGGGTCGCAAGATGGCAGATGATTGATAAACTTACACCAGGTGTTTATGCAATCAGTGTTTACGGATCTCTTCCTAGTGATATAGTGCACTACTTACGGAGCAAAGGAATTTCTTATCGATCATTGGACAAAAGTGGTAAATAGTTCGTCCTTCTGCTACATGTTTTGAGCAACTTTTAAATTGAATAAGGTCCATTTCGTTGTTTCAGACCAAACTTCAGTTTGTGGGATCAACTCACCAACCTTGTCACCGTGTATATAATCCTTTTACTTAGAAAACGTGAGATATGACACTAACAGTACTGAAACTTTTTCTGAATAATTTACTCATGATGTTAGCAATTAAATCTATACATAGTGTGACTTTTCTCTCTTAAAACCCAGTGACTGAAAATCTGCAGTTTTATTTTTGTCGGTTAAACACAACGTAGAACCTGGCACGCGCATGGCGGTTCAAGTTGCCATACCCCGTTATAACAGTAACAAATGTCTAATTCGTACTGCGGTAGTCACGTATGTACTAGTACTGAATTCAGGAAGAACTCCGTGAACATATTCTATTTTTGATTAGGGTGGGGACAATTATAAGTGTTTACAAAGTAGTCATTGTTGTCGACAAACAGCCCAGTAAAGGATGTTAGGATTGAGAATTCTACGTTGTCTTAATCTAGCACTCGTTGTCAACCATACTAGTCAAATCAAATACTAATTTAACATGTCTTTAAATAGAAGTTATTGATGGGATGTGGCAACCTGAACTTATGTACTCATTTACGAAGTAACCGACTGAGATCTGATGGGATTTCCAATATAAGGAAAACGATCTATGCACTCAATTACTTCAGTTCCTATTCTTAATTCGAGCGGTGATACAGATTAGTCCCAAAAACAACACATCATTCAGATAAGCACTAGCGTGTTTGTTTGCTTCAACATGAATTAGAAGAGGGCATAACTAATACTCGTAAGTTAGGTAGGGATATATACGAAACTAATTGACAGTTTAGTATCTTGTTTGTGAGGTAGATTAAATTTAGTAATCTCAGTGATAGTGTTTAATATAGATTTATAGTGAGGTGTCTTGGGAACGGTTTCAGAACATCTCTGTTGATAAAGTGTAACTGTAGCATATATTGCAGTACCGTTTCGATTATGGGTTTTTAAGTGCATCATTATTCACACTAGGTACAGTATAACGAGGCTTGAAATGATTTTTAAAGCAAATGGGATGGCTGGACATCCTCCAAATAATTAAGTTTCGTAATATGAACCGAGACCCTTACGATAAGCTTATACCATACAATCAGTTTGGCGTACGAACATTACATGGAACTGCATTTAATGATTCTCGTGATTTATAGAAAACAATTAAGAACTGTCAACAAATGAACCGATATTAGCTAGGAGCGGCTAAACCAATATTGTACCAGTCCATGAAGTCACTGACAACTAGGTTGAGCTATGTTAGTAGATGTAGACTATCTGGTTGGGGTCCGCAAGATAATCGTGACCGGTGGTTCGAGACTGAATGATATGGCTGAAAATCGCTTGCAATAGCGCAGATGTACTCATTACTTGTCTTCCTCAAATTTCAATTTTCCGAATTTCTCATGACCTTTTTTTCTCTTGAAATTTATTTCGTTGGGATAAACTTTTCGAATCATACCTTCGATTCTCTACCTTTTCGGTTACCGCTAACACTGCTAAAACCTCTGTCACTATGGGTTTTAGATTGAAAATTCCATCTCTGTGCTAATGTGCCATGACAACTGACATACGTACGTACCGAGTTTTAGGTTGTTGCCAACTGATTGTGACTAAAACAGATATTAGTGAGTATATTATGACCCAACGGATTTCCGTTATCGATATCATCTAGAGCAGCAAGTTACCTACACGATATCCACGTAAGAACAAACTGGGAAAAGAGTACTCGCCAACAAATAAATGCGAACACAATAGTGACAATACGATTATCTTAGATCTCACACTCAATTCTTTAGAACATTTTTATTTAGCTGACACCAAGTGAGGAAAGAAGTCTCATCTGCGGGATTACAATGTATTTAGATCCCGAAAATCAAAAAATATTACATAAATTAAAAAGTAGTGAGTTTCCTAAGCTTTTGCAGTGACGGTGCTTTACAAGATTCTCTGAAAAAAAAATACAAAAGTTCAGTGAGCGATTTATGCATCTGCGGTGCGACTAATAGCTTTATTGTGAAAATTCGAAAGCGGTGGATATGCTATCTACTCTAGTCATGTACTAATAAAGCGAGTACTTAGCCATTAATAAGAATGCATAGAAATGGATGGTGAAAGTAAAGTGTAAATTATCGATGGTAGTATTTTGAAGTATTACCGATTCCTATCGTGTAAATTAGATTAATATTGTTTATGAGTGATTAAACCATAAATTGCTCTTATCGGTTCGATGTTTTTCATATATGCATACAAATACTGATGTATTAAAGAGCTTTTTTTCTCATTGATATTCCATACGGTTACGTATAATGTTTCACTCTCACAGAGTACTTAAAAATTTCTGAATTAGATAAAGCTAGTAGTTTCAGGTTAACACCTTTACATATCTCGACAGCATCTCATCGACAATCAAGGTAGATCCGATGCAGATGTGAAGGTGCGGATCGGCAAAGCAAGGGCTGCATTTCTACAGTTGAAAAATATCTGGAACTCCAAACAAATATCAATCAACACCAAAATCAGGATTTTCAATACAAATGTGAAGACAGTTCTACTGTATGGAGCGGAAACCTGGAGAACCACGAAAGCCATCATCCAGAAGATACAAGTGTTTATTAACAGTTGTCTACGCAAAATACTTCGGATTCCTTGGCCAGACACGATCAGCAACAACTTACTGTGGGAGAGAGCAAACCAGATTCCAGTGGAGGAGGAAATCAGGAAGAAGCGGTGGAAGTGGATAGGACACACATTGCGGAAAGCACCTGAGTGCGTCACGAGACAAGCCCTCATGGAACCCTCAAGGTCAGAGGAAAAGAGGGAGGCCAAATAACACATTACGCCGAGAAATAGAGAAAGATAGGAGGGGAATGAACAAACATTGGACAGACCTTGTGATGGATGCTCAGATCAGAGTTGGTTGGAGAAAACTGGCCGGCGGCCTATGCTCCATAGGGAGTAACAGGCGTAGGTAAGTAAGTAAGTAATTTAAGGTAACTGCGACAGTCAAAATAAGATGAACTTTCGGTTACAAAACATTTTAACAGCTCACTGATTAAAGACAAGCAAATAAAAACAATGAGATTTTTCTTCTTAAAAACCAACTACTCAAGAAAAGATGCAGCTTTGTCACTAAACTAATTTCAACTAGATATTGAAAGCAAGGAATCTCGTCTTATTTTCTTCACGTGGCTGAGACTTACAGCATAATCTACTTACTAATACCCTATACTTGGCATTCATGGTCTAGGTTGTATTACAAGTGTCAAACAACCACGATCAGGACGCAATCAACTACAAATTAAGAGCGACTAGGATATATTTTGAATGAATATGCTACAGATTTTAAAATCTTTATAGATCTACGTTTATTCATTAGTTTATCCAAGATTGTTAAAATAACAATTAACTAATTGGGAAGTAATTAATAGTTTCAAGGAACTAAAAAATCAAACTAGAGACCAGGAACTAGTAAGATTTACAAACGGTGGTTCTTCTAAATCAAAAAGTGCACAAAAGGATTGCATCTCTAGCTCTTTGCTCAATACATAGGTAAACAGAAAAGCATTTAGGTTCACATAAGGGTTCTTTAGAGATTCCATATCAGTAAATTACATTAAATACTCCAGAATATTTTAGATGTAAATGCGGTATTTCGAATTGTTTAGAATTTAAATAAAGCTAAGAAAAGACATTCTAAGAAATAGAGTATCTGTCTACGTACATCCAACATGTGATGAATCTTTTCTTAGTTTTATGGCACCATAGCTAAATAATGTCGCTGAAACTTTATGCCTATCGAATTTGGCTGGGAACATTTGCGTTAGTACATTTAAACAATACACGTAGAAAAATAGATTGATCTACTTACTCGAAAAGTTTTTTAATTTGCTCTTGTTCATCATCTAATAATTGTTTTGATTTCACAACACACTTGTGACTGTTAAGTTTCTCCGGTGTTTGTTGGTAGGAAGCCAAAGGAATAGGTTTCGACAGGTACGAACTTGGTACACGAGGTTTTATGAATGTATTCTGAGGAACATAAGTTGGCCAGACCTAGAATTGTGAATATCAAATAATATTTACGTTAAGAAGGAATAAACAGATCATGTATGGAGCATAATTTCTGATGACTTTATTGCTCAAGTAGGTAGACTCAGCGAAAAGGAAAGACACCTAGGTGGATCTTATGGTGTCGCGGCTCAGAGAACAGATAATGGCGACCGTCTGCTGCAGCTATGCTCAGATAACCACCGATTTCTAGCAAATACTAACTTTAAGCATAAGGTGAAACACCTTTTGACCTGACGACACCCAAAACCGACCCAACGATGGACCCAATCAGATCACATAGCTATGAGCCATCGGTGAAAAGGCCCTATTGAAGACTGTCGCTCATTCTTGATCACTCGTTTGGACTCAGACCATCCTCTAGTGCGTTGTTCGCGTATCACTGAACATAGGAAAAATATCGCGAAGAAGCAGGGCTCTACTTAATGATAATAAAGCTATGAATATATTTCAAGAACAACTAGAAAAACAGTTAGGCAGCCGTGTAGTAAGTGATGCCCACCCTGAGGCAGCTTGGAATGATATCAAAAAGGCTGTGAAAACAGCAGTGATATCTGCTAGTAAGGTAAACCATAAGGCTAGGAAGAAGCCATGGATCTCCGTAACATCCACCGATCTAATGGACGCTCAAAACTCATCCCACCTGGCTCTGAACACGACGAAGGGCGAAGTCAGCTTAAGCGCAGGCTGATAAAAAGCCTTCGCAATGATCGAGAAAAGTGGTGGGTGGCGAAAGCAAGAGAGATAGAAAAGGCAGCGAAATAGGTGACAGTACACAACTATTCAAACTTATCAGGGAAAATAGTATTAGGAACCCAAATGTGAGTGAGACTATCTCGGAAAAGGATAGTCTTATTATCCATTCTCAATCCAGGAGATTGGATCAATGGGCCGAACACTTCAGGAATCAGTTCAAATGGCATTCAGCCACACTTCGGTTACCCACGAACTACATTCATCCTGAACAGGAAACCGACATAAGTCCTCCTATTGTTTATGAAGTTGAAAAGGCTATAGGAAATCTGAAGCGAGGGCGAGAAGCGGGTCCTGATAGATTGACCCCTGAGATATTTAAGGATGGTGGTCCAGTTTTAGCAGCTAGAATGACTGAGATCTTAGGTAGAATCTGGGAACTGGACATAATCCCATCCGACTGGTCTCAGTCGCTAATTGTCCCAATTTATAAGAAAAGACAAAAGTCTTCTCGTGACAATCACAGGGAAATCAGTCTAACTAATATAGTTTCTAAATTGTTAGCCTCGATTATAATTAGACGCCTAACTAGAGCTCGTGAAGCGCAGACTAGAGAAAACCAGGCTGGTTCTCGACGTGGACGTGATTGTCTAGACCACATTTTCACACTACGACAGGTCCTGGAACACAGACACACATTTAGGCGTCCTACAATAGTTGTTTTCCTGGACCTTAAGGCGGCATTTGACTCAGTGGATCGTGAGGTTCTGTGGCAGTGTCTGTCATTGAAAGGTGTACCAAAGAAGTACATTAACCTCATACAAGCTCTCTACTCGAACACCATTGGTCGAGTGAGAGCTTATGGCGAACTGTCATCGGAAATCCTCACTTCAAGTGGTGTTCGTCAGGGATGTCCACTTTCTCCATTCTTGTTTAATTTTATCATAGACATGCTCCTAGAAATAACCTTATCCTCGTCTGAATTTTCTGGAGTAGACCTTTTACCAGGTGGCTCGCTTATTGACTTAGAATATGCCGATGACATTGTCCTACTTGGTGAAGACGCTGACAAAATGCAGAGTCTTCTGATCACCCTAAGCAACAATGCAAGCATGTTCAGGAGGCGGTTCTCACCCTCGAAATGCAAAATGTTGCTTCAGGATTGGCTTGCGACTTCACCAGAACTACTGATAGGAAGTGAAGCAGTCGAACGTATAGGCTGCTTCACGTATCTGGGGTGTCTTATCATAGCTGATGTCCCGGTACCTGACGAAATCTCAGCACGGATACAGAAGGCTCGATTGGCTTTTGCCAACCTGCAAAACTTATGGCACAGGCGAGATATACGCTTGCTAACCAAAGGACGAGTGTACTGCGCAGCAGTTCGCTCCGTCCTACTATACGGATGCGAAACATGGCCGTTAAGAGTAGAGGACTTTCGCGGGTTACTAGTATTCGATCATAGATGTCTTCGAAGCATTGCTCGTATATCGTGGGACAACCGAGTAAGCAATGCTGTCGTTAAGAAACGAGAACTAGTTAGGTATGGCAGATCAATGGATGAAGTAGTGATGTGGTTGGGACATGTGTTGCGTATGTCTAACCACCGACCGCCTCGTCGAGCTATGTTTTGTGATATAGGAATAGCTTGGACAAAAGCTAGGGGCAGAAATCCATCAAATCACTAACAAGTAGACTGAGTCATGTTGGTAGGTGTCGACTACCTGGTTGGGGTCCGCGAGGTGATAGTAATCGATGGTTAGAGACCTTGAACGACATGGCTCAAAACCGTTTGCAATGGCGTAGGTGCATCCACTCTTTGTGTTCTATGAAATGCTAATCTCCTGAATTCCTCCTCATGTCTATCCTTCTCTTCCTAAAGTTATATTATTCAGTTATACTTTTTGAATGATATCTTCGAACCCTGGTCTTCTCCATTACCATTCATTCTTCTACTATCCCTACCACTATGGGGTTTGAACTGACGGTTGCGTCTCTGAGTTAATGTGGTATGGTAACCTGATCTTATGTACTTACGTACGAATTTCCACGTTGTAACTGACTGACTGTGAACTTTAAGTTCGCTTCACTGTAAAAATCTTTATAGTTGGCGCTTTCGAAATCATGATGCTATCAAAGTACAAAATACATGTGCAAATAGCACAACTCTTCAAACTCCACACAGATTAGCGCATACATAACGTATTAATAGTGTTGAAACAGCAATAGTACTCACTTACTTTATTGAAATTTTTGAAGTTCACCTTATTTAATTGTTCGACAGTCATAATGGTATGTTGAGCATTTGCCGGGGTAGGCATAGGGGCAAAAATTACCAAGCTTTTAAGATTTATTTGCTAGTTAGAAATACAAATTTAAAAGAAACAAGTTTCAGCTTTTTTATATTTCTAAACACTTGAATTTATTAGAGGTTTCATACAATAATTGTAATAAACAAACCACAAGTCCATAAACTAATATATTAAGATGGTATGTCTGATCTACATGATATACAGCATTAACTACTGAAGTCATGAATTCGCTATGCCTAAAGTATTCGAGGAAAAAGCTAAAAAATATAATTTAATGGTTCTATCCATCTTTAGTTCTTCAGATGTAATTTTTTATCAATAAATTTGCTGGATACTATATTCTTCACATTTCAGTCACTTAGAAATAAATTCAAACACAGTGGTAAATTTTGACAAAATTGCAAAGTTAGTATTTTTCCAATTTGAGATGAAATTCTTAACACAGAATTAGCCTTCTAATATGAATAATTATTATTGTCAACTAAATAATTCCATTGACCGCACTAAAATAAAACTGATAGTTTATGAACGATTATGAATTCAAGCAATAAACATGGTTTGAAAAACAAAAAATTAAATTAATTAAGAAACGAATTTTTTGAGTCTAGTAAGTGAAATGATTTAAGGAGAAATCAATGATCAGTAAGTATATAAACTGCACAAAACTATAAAATAAGAAACAAACAGAAAATCTTACTACTTTAGGAACTAAAGATTATAAGTATCAAGTATAGGATTTCCAAGTCGGCCAGTGACTTCGACAAAACTACGGAAAATAATACAGTAGATATAACTTGACCAGATTCAGTACGAACAGTTTTATCTATAAACCGACTGATAATCTGATCCACCTGTGAATATAGGCTTCTTCACTACGATCCCCCAAGGAAATCAAATGTGATCTGTGAGATGACTGTCGAACATTACTTACTTACTTACGCCTGTTACTCCCTATGGAGCATAGGCCGCCGGCCAGTTTTCTCCAACCAACTCTGATCTGAGCATCCATCACAAGGTCTGTCCAATGTTTGTTCATTCCCCTCCTATCTTTCCCTATTTCTCGGCGTAATGTGTTATTTGGCCTCCCTCTTTTCCTCTGACCTTGAGGGTTCCATGTGAGGGCTTGTCTCGTGACGCAGTTAGTTGCTTTCCGCACTGTGTCCTATCCACTTCCACCGCTTCTTCCTGATTTCCTCCTCCACTGGAATCTGGTTTGCTCTCTCCCACAGTACGTTGTTGCTGATCGTGTCTGGCCAAAGAATCCGAAGTATTTTGCGTAGACAACTGTTAATAAACACTTGTATCTTCTGGATGATGGCTTTCGTGGTTCTCCAGGTTTCCGCTCCATACAGAACTGTCTTGACATTTGTATTAAAAATCCTGATTTTGGTGTTGATTGATATTTGTTTGGAGTTCCAGATATTTTTCAACTGTAGAAATGCAGCCCTTGCTTTGCCGATCCGCGCCCTCACATCTGCATCGGATCTACCTTGATTGTCGATGAGATGCTGTCGAGATATGTAAAGGTGTTAACGTCCTCCAAAGAATCCCCATCAAGCGTGATTTGGTTGGCGCATGTTGTGCTGTATCGTAAAATCTTGCTTTTCCCTTGTATATGTTTAGACTTACTGCTGCTGCTACACTGGTCGTCTTCTCTTGCATTTGTTGTTGCGTGTGTGGTAGAAGAGCCAGGTCATCTGCGAAGTCCAGATCGTCCAGCTTCATCCTTGCTGTCCATTGGATATCGTGCTTCTCTCCAGATGTTGACGTCTTCATAATCCAGTCGATCACCAGGAGAAAGAGAAAGGGTGAGAGTAAACAACCTTGCCTCACACCTGTCTTCACCTCAAACGAGTGTGTGAGCTGACCTCCGTGCACGATTTTGCAGTTTAATCCATCATAAGAATGCCGTATGATGTTGACTATCTTCTCACTCACGCTGTGGTGCGCGCTACTTATAAGTAGTATATGAAGCGAGTGTCAACGTAATGTCTGGCAGCAGATGATGGGGGAAGATCAGGAAAGGAAGAGTGGGAACACAATGGAATTTGTATGAAACGCATGAATAGTGAAATGTCAGACAATGGATTGATGATGGATTGAAGATGTGCAAATTAACGGTTACGATATGGTTTTCCTATTTTACTGAGTAACTCTGTAATTTTCGTTAAATACAATTCGGTTTCCCTCACCTGTGTTCTCCTTCACTACAACGCCATAGTGTCGAAGAAGCCTCCATAGTGTTTTCCTTTCCACGCTATAGAATGCTTTCTCGTCGTCAATGAAGTTGATGTAGAGTGGTGAGTTCCACTCAATTGACTGTTCCATAGTGATCCGTAATGTTGCAATTTGGTCGGTACGCGATCGATCCTTACGAAATCCAGCCTGTTGGTCTCGAAGTTCGGCGTCTACGAAGTCCTTCATTCTGTTTAACAATACCCTGTTGAAGACTTTGCCTGGTATTGAGAGAAGAGTGATGGTTCTGTACTTCTCCCACTTGCTGAGATCACCTTTCTTCGGTATTTTGATGAGGTATCCTACTTTCCAGTCTGATGGTACTGGTTCCTCATCCCAAATCTTGTTGAAGAGAGCGTGAAATATTCTGGCAGTTGCTTCCACATCTGCTTTCATTGCCTCTGCTGGAATGTTTTCTGGTCCTGCTGATTTGCCGCTCTTGATTTGCTTGATGATCATGCTGATCTCTTCGATTGTAGGTGTACCAGCCTTGATTGGGAGGTCCGTAAATGCTGCTTCGATGTTGGGTGGATTCGGTGGATGGATGCTCAGATCAGAGTTGGAGAAAACTGGTCGGCGGCCTATGCTCCATAGGGAGTAACAGGCGTAAGTAGGTAAGTAGCTCTTAAAATATCACTTTAAAGACTATCCCTATATATTGGTCCTCTCTTATACAACCTTGGATATTAGTAACTTTAACCAAAGAACTATCTTATTATGATCAACATTATTACCTTCAAAATTATTTATTTTACCGCAAGTCGCATTGTACCGGAAATATCAACATAAAAGACAATAAAACTTACTGTATCAATATTATTAGCAACGTTATCAGTCGGATGTTTTCGGAGCCAACTTTTTGATACACAATTTTTATTATTTGATGAAATTAAAGGACCATTATTTAACTCGGCGCTACATGAATTCGATTCAGTTACAAAAGATGAATTTGAATCCTTTCTCGATATAGAAAATTCATACTTAGGGATTTCCGGTTTGCTACTATCAAAACTTTCAGCAGACAGTGATGAAAAGAGCTGAGTTGCATCATTTTTGTCGTTGTTATTTGGCTCGAGTAATGTACCTTTCCTCATTGTTGCTTGAAGAAGTGAAGGCATACTGTTTAATGTGTCCAACAGATCATCCTTTTCAGTACGCACTGAAGGTTGGTGAACTGGTGAAGGTTCCGTGGAAAATACGACATAGACGACAGGTATTTTGAAGTGTGAAGATGGACCGAAATGGTTATGAACGGATAAAAATAGAAAACAAGGTTATTCATAACCTGATACAATGCAAAACAGCTTAATTAATGGAGGACGAGTCTGTTCCAACGCCCCTTAAACGTTGACACGTGTTTGAATGATTACTCATGCATAGTTAGACTAAGTATTGAATGTTGCTGAAGTTTTCAGTATAGTAATGGATAAGGATGGTATATCGGTTGGTGAGATTTTGAACTCCCATTAATTAATATAGCTGGTAAATCTTACGAATGCAGAGCTACGGTGTTCCTTAACATATGATGGTGCTTAGCGAAGTATTTTTGAGTTAAGATAAGGCGACTGGATTTAGATAAAGTAGTAATTCGTTAGACAATTTACAACTGACAGATCGTTTTAAGAGAAAAATTTCTATCGAAGTTTAAGCAAATTTAAATGAAATGCATCAAAAGTGTTTGTAATGACACAGTCAGTCGGTCAGTCAGATGCAACGTAGAACTTCGTACGTAAGTACACCAGTTCATGTTGCCATACCACATCAGCACAGAGATGTAATTGTCAATTCAAATCCAATAGTAGAAGTGGTTGTAAAAGTATTAGAAGTAATCGGAGAGGTTAGGATTAGAAGATATTATTCAAGAAGTATGATTCAATGAGAAAAGTTTAGAAAGTCAAAACTAGAGGTGTTGAAGAATCCAGAAGATTAGGATTTGAGAGAACACAAAGAATAAACGAACCGGTGCCACGGCGAACGATTTTGAGCCATGTCATTCAAGGTCTCTAACCATCGATTATTATCATCTCGCGGACCCCAACCAGGTAGTCGACAATTACCGACATGGCTAAGTCCACTAGTCAATGACTTCATGGATTTCTGCCATGTTTTGGTTTGGCCGCCCCTAACTTTCTTCCAACCTACTCCTACACTACAAAACAAAGCTCGTCGAGGCAGTCGGTGGTTAGGTATACGCAACACATGTCCCAACCACCTCAACTGATGAAGTTTCATTACTTCATCTATTGATCTGCCATTCTTACCTAGCACCCGTTTCCTAATAACAGCGTTGCTCACTCGGGTGTCCCAGGATATACGAGCAATGCTTCGAAGACACCTATGATCGAAATCAAGCAACCTACGAATATCTTCTACTCTCACTGGCCATGTTTCACAGCCATAAAGTAAGACGGAGCGAACTACTGCGCAGTATATTCGTCCTTTGATTAGAGAACGGATATCACGCCTACGCAGGTTGGCAAAAGCCAATCGAGCCTTCTGTATCCGAGCTGAGGTTTCGTCAGTCACCAGGCCATCATCACTGATGAGACTCCCCAGATAAGTGAAGCAAGTGATGACACAAATGTACTTAGTCATTATTTTTCTCTAAATTCTTAATCTTAATGTCATTCCACAGTTATTACTATTGGATTTTGACTCATTTCTTTTGGAGGTAAAGGGTTGCAAGGCTTCTTGAACTTCAGCGAAATCCCGAACCGATTCAAGTTAGACCATAAATGAAAAAGAGGAAGCATTGGACAGCCGTTACGTCTTCGTGCAAGACTCTTCATCAGTGCGCATCCACAACTCCGCATGTAGAAATCGAACCCAGAACCTTGATTCTCGCGTGCGAACGCTCAACTGGTATCCAACGATGAATCACATTTCCTACCTCTATCTTTTTTTAGCATTACTATTTTAGTTTTGGCTCACTGATACTTCATCCTGTTAATTTCTTTTTCCTATGAGTGTGGCAACATGAAAAGGCGTAAATTTATGTCATGCTTTATGCTATTCGAGAAAAACCGTACCTACAAAATATTTTTCTCAGACAGTGGGACTAGAATGCAGTAAAGCAGCTTATAACAAATGAATTTCTCAGTTTAAAACAAGACGATATTCATTAAATGAGCACCAAATGAAGTGGAAAGCGCCATTTATGGTTAAGTTATAACTAATATCAGTAGGTAGAAAAGTTGTGAAAATGCAGTTAAGTGCAAAATAATTGTAAGAAATTATTATATTTAATATGAGTGTAGACTCAGTTTTCTTATAAAAATTCAAACAAAACTTTGAAATCAGTTACCGAAAGTTGTAGTAGAAATGCTGTTATTTAAATTTGTCTCCGATTTAAAAGGCTCCTGATTTTCTAAATCCAAAGGTGTAGTCTGAGGTGAGCCAATAAACCTCTGACTTGCTATAGGCTCTGAGTCGTGTACTAATACGCTTCCCACAGTTATATGCTCAGGCTATCAAGAGAAAAAGCAGTCCGAGCTTAAGTATAGATCCAAATTTTTATTCAAAATGTGAAACGTGAAAAGATGTTACAAAATTATATATATATATATATATATATATATATATATATATATATATATATATATATATATATATATATATATATATATATGGCGTAATCGTTAACTTATGAGTTTGTTCCAGACAGCTATGAGAAATTTATCTGTCTAGTAAATTCAAACAGGTCACAATAAGAAAGTATTTATTCCACATATTTTTTGAGTTTCAACAGTTTTTAACTTTTTTGATTGTCATAAACACTAGACATTTTTAAATGAAAGAGACATTTTTAATAAAATAATTATGGACTACTGCCACTAATAATAATAATAATAATAATCCCACAAATGAGCTGAGTTTTGATACACTGCACCGTAAATATTTAAGATGGTTGCATTTTGATCACAAAACTTCCAGGAAGTACTTATTTACAAAAGTATTGTTGAAGATTAGTTAAAAATATGAACAAATGATTTTTAGGAATAGTTTCAGGCCGACTTCAAAATGTAACTAACTTAGTACTGGATTTTGAGCTACACCTTATGTGCCAGGAATAGTTACACTACATAACTACACAAACTGATATAAGTGAAGCGGGTTTCAAACATGACCTGTCAGTCGAAAGTCGAACTTGTTAACCACTAAACGAACGATTACTTAGCTATTGGTGAATCTTTAATAGAAGCGATTAATAATAAAAATATTCTTCAACTGAAAATTATCAGTCAGCAATAATCATAAAAATGGCAAATTTTTCGGAAACTTTTAATAAATCTCTTCTCATGTAAATAACCAACCAGAGGGAAGAACTTCAAACTCGAACAAAGCAGTAGAAGTTAATACAAGAATCAGGAAATGGATAACTATTTGTTTTACTACCTTAAAAAGGCATCATAATTTGATCTCATCATTTGTTTAAATAATGTTTTTTAAAAACTGCTTGAATCATCATGTATAAATTTGCATCTAACCATTACTATCGATAACTAAATATAAACATTTTTGTACGATACAGCTTTATTACACCCAGCCAGAAAATATTTCATCGTAAAAATCATTGCTTAATTTGACCCTAACGATTGTCAAACTTAAAATCATAAAGATTTTATTCGATCTGGGCAGTTAGATAGTATTATTGGTCTTAAAATGACGGTGTGGATCAAACAAGGGTACATCAAGTTACATTTGGCAAATGGGTTGTGTTATGAAATTATCTGAATGGAGAATAAGATGCATAATCAAAAACTTGAACACACTAACAGTTTTCACAGGAACAATTCTAGAGGTGGTGGATCCAAATTTATGTTCACATGACCTTGCAGTTTGACATGATTTCAATTTGAGTCCAGCATCTAATTCCATATTCTTCGCTGTCAATGAAAATCTAAGAGAATATTTTAAGTAGACATGTTAAGTGCGAAACAATAAAAAGGCAAATGAGAAACAAATACAATCGGTTCAAAGAAATACAGTAGCCCATTTTTATCTTAAAATGGTCAGAACAAAGCTGCAAAAAACCCACTAGGCTTATACTTTATGTACGCTAGTAATACCATATTTGAAAATATGAAAATGCAAGAGTATTTTATACTAGATTCGACTTTAGCTAACAACCAAAAATATTAATGGGGTCTTAGTCTGTAAATTGATGTAACAGCTGAAATACAGACAGAAAAATTTTTTATGATATGACATAAATATTATTTTGGACAAATGAAGTATGTTGAATTCCATGAATTCAAATGTGCAAAAGTCAAACTACTAATTATAGTATACAGTGCAGGAGAATAGGGCTGATCAAAATTGATGATACCTCAGAATACCCCTTCAATATAAGGAATTATTGGATGCGGCCGTTCATTGATTAACACACTCAGCTTTCAACAAACAGATATAGGCTTTAGATTTTGTACCGCCTATTTTGGTTTAGGCTGGTGACCAATAACCCTAGTCCTCATGCAAACCGTGACTTCGACAAGAGTTTACATCCATACTTGGTAGATGACTTCTAACCTATCCTGTTGAATAAGCTCGCCTAAATGACAAGAGAACTCAGAGCCCATCTGATTTAAAGTCAAACAGAAAATAAAGTAATCAAAAAATCTGTCAAACGACAATTAGTCGATCTAAAATGAACAAAGAATGAATCCCTAAATTTCCTTCAGAACATTTACGAGGAAATTACGCGTTTTTTTGCTTAGTTTTAGGATTTTGTCTGCCTGGGAAAAAAATTGGGTAAAGATAACTACTAGTGTTGTATTATTCATAAATAAGTAAAACAGAACTAATAGTCATGGTTAAAACTGCAGATTTAATCAAAGAGATGGTTCAAGACTCTACTATTTAAAAATTTAGGATCTTTTTTCTTGCTGTACTGTGATTTTTTCTAGGAACAGATTCAACAATTAGATACAAGAACCAAAATTTGATGCAATCCACAAGAATAAATGTGAACAAACTTTTCATCAGATGAGTCAGGAAGTTTCGTATTGATCATTGTGGTAGATGATTGGCTGAGCTCTGATGTGATGAATTCTGAGTCTATTTGGAACGGATTAACCGAGAATGTGCCAGATATATCAATTTCGTGGTATAATCCATCGGCTAAGCAAAAATTAGAAATAACGTACTTGTAATATCCCAATGAATAGAAAATTAAATTTACGTTTCGTGACTTACTGTAAATTGCTTCTTCAGAGGACAGACACTGTAATTAGACTAGCACAAGTTTACATATTACAGTGAATCAAATCAAAATGTTTAATATGATCAAAATTAATTCAATCATTTTAATGTCATCCATGTCTCTCATGCTTACATGATGTCGTGGGAGACACTCGTATGTAGTGCGTATATGATTGCTTGCGAAAAATGTAACACGTAAGGTGAAAGAGTAGAGTTAAACTTTTGTATATTATTATTGTCAAATATGAACAGATCAATGTATGTATTTGGATAAATCATCCAAGTTGGATTACAGTTAAGCCTTCGTTTATTCTAAACATGGTGAAGTCTAACGTTATATGAAGAGCTTCAGTCACTTGTGTTTGGGAAAAACTTTCCGACACGTGCTGTTATGGGTGTGAGGGCAGTTGTCACTTCCCGGCTACCCACACCGTGGAAGGTTGTTTCTTGAGGGACCTGAAAAGGAAGGTAGATTAGTGTTGGTTTTAGAGACCTGGGTGCGTGACCGCAGAGCCCAAGGGACAACTGCTTTAGGCCGGTCACGCACCGCCATCTTATGAAAGGTTTTTCGAGTATTAGCTCCGCTCTTAAAAGCCCTTAGTGGGAAACCCTTACCGACGGAGACGGAAATCCGTGAAGTAGGGTGAGGTGTGACATTTTTAGGGTCGACCTTTTCTAACCCTTCCTTTTTTGTGAGAAGGCAGCATCGTTGCAGATGCTGGTTGTCCGAGGGAAACACCTTACTGCTGTTACATCCCTCTGCAGTCAGCAGTACGACTTCGCCCTCAGACCATGAGTAGCTGCTTTTAGTCTCATCGTTCTCCAACCGACCTGCCTAGCATGGTAGAACCTTCAGGAACATATGTTCCAGCCAGTATAGCTCGGTTGGGTCATTACGATAGGCAAGACCCACCACTAGGTCAAGGTAGCAGCTACGGTCGGGACCTTTTCGACACTCCTAATGTCGACTTGATGACCGTTGAATGAAGCATGTACTGCTACTACCGACTTAATTTTTAGACTCAAGTTCTACAAGACTATTAAATTTTTGTGAATCTAGGATGCAAAGCCGAAATATTATGTACATCGATTTACTGAGAAGCGTGTTACTGGCGATTTCAACAAAGATTTATAATCGAAATAAAGATTGATAAACGGGGCAGGAAACTACAAATATCGCAAAATCTAAAAGCAATTACAGCAAATCAATTTACTCTTTAAGATCAAATTAGTATTTCGAAAAAGGTAACTGTTATGTCACTTCCACGTGCATTTAAGAACCTTTGATTTTTGCAGGTGTAATGTTCCAATTACATAATGGTGAACTTAAGATACATTTACTTAAGACCAGTCAATAACAAACTACTGCCTTTCAGGAAACGCATATCTTGATAGGGAAAACCCTGGGCAATTTTAGAACAATGACTCACAACATGTTAAAAGCACAAAATTTTAAACATTCAGTTTATTTTCCATCTAACTATATGTTTCTTTATATAAGATAAAATCCGCTTCCGAATATGTTATAAAATATGAAGGAACAATTACGTTTAAAAACGGAAGAAACTAATTGTCACTTACGACAGCGTTTATCTGGATTGCAATATAACTTTATTGAGCAATATACAACAGCAAAGCCCAGCTCCGATTCAAGAATAGGTCTACGGTGTAGACTACGCAGTACAGAATATAATTTTCGCTGCCATGATTCAGACACAGGCGTAGGATGAAAATGAACGACGCATATTTCCGGTCTAGACAAAATATCACGGATGAGATCGTCTGAAGAATTATGTCCAGATACAGATACTTTGATGTTCGAACTTGCAGTAACTAGAGCATCATGAGAGTCAACTAGATATGATTTCCCATTTCCCAAACGAATTATTTCAGACAGAATATTATACTGTAACCAAGAGAGATTTAGAGTTAGATCTAAAACTAACCTTATCTTTGTTTAAAACAAAGAACACCTTTCCACTAAATAAGGAAGGACGCAAATCATTTGGGAGGAACCTTGCAGCGTCATTTTGTGTCAGCTTTTCCTCCTTTACAATCGGTAAAAAATCTTTCTAGAAGAAAATAAGTTAGGGTTTAGAAATTACTGGATTAGGTTTAGCTGCAAACGTGTAGCCCCTGATTTTCTTGATCTCTTCTAAGTAATCTGGTGTGACAATCGGGATACAGCTAAGTAATGCGCATATAACCTGTGGAAAATAATGTAAAATTAGAGACAACAGCACTTTAGAAGTAACGATTAGAGTTTGCATAACAAGAACGTTGCATTCACTCGACCATTCGCTTGAAATTTTCGCACGAATGAGGGTAGCAACTGCTTTTGCTCTTTTTTTTACATCTCTCCCTATTGAAGAAAAGAGTATATTAATTTCTTTATACATTAGTCTTCGGAAATTATTAAGTTAAGAGCATACATAAACTTCTTGTTCGGTACACAACGGAACTGTATCACATCTCCCGACTTGATGCATTGATGCTGCTTCGATAGCAACACACTATTGACTGAAGACTGTCCCTGAACATTTTCAGATAGCGTAAAATGTAAACCGTTCTACCGCATTTATCGAAACAGAACGAACATACCATGGCAATAACAGATATTTTAGCGACTTCACCGCATATGGCTGGTCGTAAGTCGACGTCACATTTTGAATCACCAAACTTAATGATACATGGTTGGCTAATAGCAAGAGTTCGAATGTGTTCTAGGAGGTATATTAAAATATTTGTAGAAGTACCGCTCCCTACAACTTCTTGTAACTCCCACATTGTATGTAGCGCTTTCGCTCACTTAAGTCAGATGTCGCTCTGACCTACATCCAAATAAAGCTTATTAGAAAGATCAAGTTTTTTCAGTTTCGCTCTTGGATTTAGGTTATTCCGTGAGTAAAGAAACTTATTTTCTTGTTTGTCCTGATTACAGTTGTGTCTTTGGCGTTTGATTGGTTTGCGTTCAGCCAGGAGGTACTTTGTGTGCTGGGGGTATCTGTGAAGCAGTCTGTGAAAATATCTGGAAGAAGAAAGAGCAGGAGAAAAAGGTGAGCCGAAAACACAATAAGCATACGGAACGAACTTATATTTAATAGAGAAGTCCGCCAGAAATGAGTAATCGAAACTAGAAGTTGTCAGAGTAAGATTTTGTATGCATTGAACATCTGTTTTTTTCGAAACTAAAAATATTTGATACATACTTACTTGATCAACCAATTTCAACGAATTCAGCCTTTTCAACCACATCTTAAGTTCATGTGAAATTTAACGGAGGCGAGCCTAACCACGTAGTTGCATCAATACTGTCACGGGTATTAGAGTTTTTACACACCGAAATCATCAATCATTCATTGTTGGACCACGCGCAAAATCTCTAGATTAATCAGAGTTAGACATTAACACCGTTTGGTGCCAGCGCACTGGTCCAGAGGTTAGACTGAGGGTCCTAGGTTCGAATCCCGCAAGTAGCGGGGGACGTGGATGCGCACTATTAATAAGTCCCATACCAAGACGAAACGGCCGTCCAATGCTTCACGGTTTCTAATGGTGGCCCAGCAATGATCAGTTCATGAGTTCAGTGTGTAGAAATTACTTGTAGCATATGTTATCACTTCTCCGTGAAAAATTTCAGGTGCTTATATGAGAGTAAAAATAGTATAGCTAGGGGAAGTAAGGAGGCTATACAAAGTTGAATTAAGACTGGCAATTGAATGGTGGAAACCTTATGTTAAATGGGATAATAAGAGTAAGTGATAACATATCACAAGATAGGAAGAGAAGATAATTTCTTAGTGTTATAACCGCTCGCTTTCTCATGCAGAATTTCTCCTGTGTATTGGCAAGAAATTATTCAAAACTTTTTACCACATTGTAAATGTTGGTAGATAGATAGAAATAACCTAAAACATTAAAACAGTGAATAACAGCTATGCTTGACTTCTGTTGTCTAACTCACGGGATTCGGCTTTCTGGTCACCGAATCGATTTCTAACAAAGATATGAGATTTATTTGTGTGGTTTTGTAAAAGTCGGTTTGCTTTGAGAATCCTTCATGAATTTCTCACTGCATATTTTTACTCTTAAAAGTAATGACTCCGTTCTTAGACACCTAATCGTTTTTTCAACTGTTTCTAATACTCCAAACTAATACGGAGGCATTTTTATTCACTTGTAGTGAAATACTTTGACGAAGAGAATGCACTCAGTGAAATGGAAACATTTACTATCGTGGCCCATTGCATCAAGGATTGTTTTTTGCACTCCTTTTGTTTAATTGTACTGAAAAACCGATACTTATGCGACTAATATGCTACTTCTTAGTTATTTCCATAACTAATTGTGGTTATGCCATAACTAACCAATCAGATTGTGGTTTAAGCGCTCACCACGCTATCTAATATGGTGCTTTGAGACAGTGTATTCTAATATGACGTGCACCATTAGGTTAAGATCACGACACCATTAAACCATATAATTACCGCAAAGCAACTTATCATCACAAAAGAAGGGAGACTGGCGTTTGTAACCAGCAAATGTGATGATAAAAAAAATAAAATCGGTCCACCCTTTTTGGCAGAACATGAGTATATGGATATTCATAGCATAGAGTGAAGCAAACAATCAAGAAAGTTGATGTTTAAACTATTTTCCTCTGCAAAAAGGCTCTTCAACATATATCTGACGCTCTAAATTATTTTTACTTCCCACTAGCAAATAATATTGAAAGCTAAACTGTAGCCTAACCCTGAGAACAAGTGGCTTATGAGTAATATAAACCTGAACCGGTGCCGTTCTTCCTAACATTGTGATGCGCGCTACTTATAAGTAGTATATGACGCGAGTGTCAACGTAATGTCTGGCAGCAGATGATGGGGGAAGATCAGGAAAGGAAGAGTGGGAATACAATGGAATTTGTATGAAACGCATGAATAGTGAAATGTCAGACAATGGATTGATGATGGATTGAAGATGTGCAAATTAACGGTTACGATATGGTTTTCCTATTTTACTGAGTAACTCTGTAATTTTCGTTAAATACAATTCGGTTGCCCTCACCTGTGTTCTCCTTCACTACAATATCGGTCAACCGTCCATTTCATCCCAATTTATGGGCATCAGACCCTTCACTGTTCTGAAAACACTTAGTTAACAAATAGTTTTACCACAGAAAACAGACTGGCAGTATCGGGAATTCATTTTTTGTCACGAGTGGTTTGAATTAATTTTTAGCAAATTGTTTACTGCGGGATGGGGTTGCTAACCTTGGTTTTTCATATGTTATGTAACTGGATTCGAAATCGGAGAATTCTTCCAGAATTGGAAAATCTCTGTGTTATTATTGAAGGAGTATCAGTGGTAATATTGTTTACGTAATCATATACATTTATATTTATGATGAACATTAGAACCATCATTTACCAATATCACTTGTTTTGGTTTCAACTAGGCAAGACGCGTTTCTGAACTACCTAGACAGTTATTCCTCAGTCCAAACTCAGTTTGGATCCTAGAGCACGGACTCTTACCAAAAACTTTGATGCACAATGGTTTCTTTGATAGATCGACGGCACTAGAGGAAGGAATAAATTTGATTTCTTTATATCCATTGACGTGTTGTGAGTAACTTATTATGAAATATTAGCACGAGTAGATGCATCTCATATATCAGCAAATAGTTCTACTGAAACATGGTTTTTAAACATAAAGAATCGAGACGTGTTTTCATAGAACTATTTTGGTTAAGAAATAAGCCTTGCTAAATTGTTATAAAAACGGCAGCTTTACCATTTCCACTAAAAACTCCAGTTGATAAACTCACTAATTTAGGGGACAGCAGAGCATTCTAAGGTTTCATTTGTCTATTTGAAAAAGTAACTACTTCTACACATATTTTCAAATTTATGTGGTCGAAATCGAAGATGGGCAATGGTCGCTCAACATACACCAGAACATATTAACGTGATCAAAAGGTGAGGCAAACGCCACTGCTTGAGAATTTCAATTCAACATCTTGAAAAGATTTTAACACACTTTTGACACTGGTCGGCAACTGCAGAAAATGCTTGCACAATGAGTCAAGGATGTCATCAACATTCTTGATAGTAATAACCCCAACTTCAACAATCAGTAAATCCATTTGTTTCCTAATAAATGTGGATTTCAGTGAGGAGAATCTTAGGCCCGTCAATTCAGATCTGAAAGAATGATTATTTGTTCGCCTATTACTGATAGCCGATAGCCTAGGTGGAGTAAGGCTACTAAGTGAATTGGTATAAACTGTTAATAAAATGAGCCCATTTGACCTTAACCAAATTTTTGGGTGTTAATGCTTTGATATACAGTGTGTTTGTCCAAAACAAATGATGACTTTCTAGAATCATGCTATTGGTCTTGTTCCAACCTCAGTCATAAGTTATCTTAAGATAACTGAGGCTATTAAACACGCTTATAGCCTTCCGTACGATATACTTATTGGCGGTAGAACAAATGTTACTCCACGGACTCAAAGAATCAAGAAAGAAACAGATAATATAGGAAGAAATATATTTGATACTGGCCTCGTAATATCGAAATAATACCGAGGCAAGAGGGCGTACAGAAAGTTAACCTCCACGCAGGAGACGTGCGAAGAGGAGAATGGGAGTAACACGCTTGGTGCGCGAGAGATAGTCTTTAGTACAGAAAAACAAGATATATACAGTATAACAATTATTGCCAGAATTACGTACAATAATAAATGTTTATATTTCATCAGTTGTGTTTTCTTTGTAAAAGTAAATCACTACAATAGCCCCCTCGAAGAACGGGCTAACACTTTCGATACGTAGCGGTTTCGTGAGGAAGGGGGGCTGGTCAGATAACGGGTGATTGTAGGACGGAAGGTTTGACGGACATGAAGCGACCAATGAAGCCCGATTTGTCAACGAGATGCCTTCACGTTGAGCTGTTCCAATAGTAACGTGCCAAGTTTAATGCTCAAGTTGGCATGCCACACCAGCGTGGCTCGTATCCAGAGTCTGAAGAACGCGTTCATAGGGATTCGTACCAAAAAATAAACTGCAGACGTAGGACGGAACCAAATCGAGCGAAAGAGCCAGAAACGAGCAGTTCGAAACCATGCATGTGGTAGAACATTCGAAACCAAAACATCAACTGAGTGCATTGACAAGAGCGTGGTTGATCAGGCCAGCTTTCACAAAAATTGACTGAAACCGACGGTGTTACCAGGGTGAAGGTTGCTAGGCATGGGCTCAGGATACAAAATTAAAGAGAAAGAGAAAGGCGTAGCATACATGTAGTACGAGGATAGGGTACTATCACGTTTCCGTTGTTGCGTGGGTGGTTATTTGAGAAAGCGTACAGGAAGCGTACGCGGCGACCGGAAAGCGAGACGATGTTATTGTGCGTACTTTGTGAGCCAGCAATCTCATTCTAAGTCAAGGGTGGCGTGGTCTGCTGATCTGGACGTGAAACCAGAGTCTCGTCCGTAGATATTACTGACGGCGCGTACCGTTGACTGGGACGGGAGAATGAGGTCTCTGATTTGTCTAGCGTGGGACCCGAATTAGCTTCAAGGATCCCGCTAGTAGGTTGTACTGGAGTTGACATCGGAGGCAGCGCTCACATAAATTCAGTCAATCGTTGGACGTAGTCTGATTTACTGAAGTTATCACTGCTCCGTGGTGTGAAAAATTCCTCATGCAGACTCAATGTCGTGCCGTAAACTAATTCAGCGGCGGAACATTGAATATCTGCCTGTAAACTCGTTCTGATACCTAGGAGGACAAGCG